GAGCGAAACTCGCCCCCGCGGTCGGAGTGGAGACAGCTGACACGACGACCACGAGTGTCCTGGGTGGTAAGCAACCACCTGATCAGCGTAGAAGTCACCTCAGACTTCCTCGCCAGGGGGAACACTGTGGTGTAGCGGGAGTAGTCGTCAACGACCACCAAAAAGAAACGCTCACGCTCAGGGCCAGGGCGAGGAGAGGGGCCCCAGACGTCCAAGTGCAGCGTCTCAAAAGGCTCAGTGGCCGGACGAAGGGAGGAGGAGTGAGGGGTGGCACGCAGCCTACCCTCGACGCAAGGACCGCACGGTGGTGCAAGGGACGGCGGCAGCGACGGCAAGACACGCGGGAGACCTAAGACCAGACGCTGACTAGACATAGCACGCAGACGTGGAAGAGAAGGGTGTCCCATCCGGTGGTGCCACAGAACGGTGGGGTGGGCAAGCGACCGACAGGAGCAAGACGCAGCGACTGGACTGGACGCGACAACCTGAGGGGACGGAACCACCTGGTGAGACGCAGGGAGGAGACTAGGGGGAGGGACAGGAACTGGGAGGAGTGGCTGCTGCGACGGCGGCCGCTGTGGCTGCGGCTGCGGCTGCTGCCGCTGCTGCTGCTGCGGCTGCTGCTGCTGCTGCAGTCGCTGCTGAGCGCGCGGGCCAGTGTGAAGAGTGTAGAGACCGGAGCCCGGCTCAGCAGCAAAAGTGGCGAGGGGCTGGTAAGAGTCCCCGTCAACACACACCGCAGTCTCTCCAGAAGGCTCAAACCACACACCCACGTGCTGACTCACGAGGGGTCGCACGCCCACCAAGTTCCGGGAGAACGAGGGGACGTGAAACCCAGTGAGAGACCCAGAAGGAGCAGCCGGACACGGCAAGGTGGTAGTGTGACGCGCGGTGACTGGTCCCGAAGTGGGATCAGCCAGCGCCACAGAAACAGGCGCAGGAAGAGGCGTAAGTGTCGTGCTGTCACGAAAGAAGCAGTGAGAGGCTCCAGAGTCCAGCGTGAACGACAGCGAACCGTCCTCTGAGGTAGCCGCTGGACTAGAGTCTACACAAGAACCTACACTAGCAACAGGCAACTGAGCAAGGCTAGCACCTAAGCTAACAACACCAGAGTAAGCAGAGTCAGAAACACTAGAGTCAACAATAGCATACATAGCATGGGGAGTACCAATCAGATCAACTAACTGCTCAGCAGACATGCCCCACAGAGCGGAGCCGTAGCGCTGAACAAGAGGCAGCCAGTCAGGGGCAGGAGCACCAACCCCGTAGACCAAACGAACCGTGTCAGTGAGCTGAGCAAAGCACTGACCAGGGGGGTGAAACCGGCCACAAGGGTGGCCACGACGAGGGCCTGTCAGAACCTGGTAGGTGCAGGGAGTGTAAGCAGCACCACGCTGGGTCTGACGCAGCCCCGACCCTGGAGCCAGCTGCTGCCGCTGCTGCTGCTGAGGCTGCTGGGAGGAGAGGGGCTGCTGGTGCTGCAGAAGCTGCTGCTGACGCTGAGCCTGGTACCACGCCGCTGCTCCACCAACAGGGGCCGGAAGTACAGGAGGCGACTGACGAACTCGGGCGTCGCCACCACTAGCAGGCGCAGTGGAGTCACCAGTCACTGCACGAGGCGCCTCTCCAGGCCCTGAACCTCCACCGCCGCCAGGCGCAACGCCACCTCCACTACCTCCGCCAGAACCGCCTTTCTTGCCACTCCTACCGCGGGACCGCGACGCAGTCGTAACAGCAGCTGCAGTCGCGTCAGTAGCGGCAGTGGCAAGTGAGGCAGTAAAGGTGGGTAACTGCGGGACTGTGCACCCGTGGAAGAGTGGGGGGGGCACAGCACCAGAGGCAGCGGCTACCGAGCGAAGGTTGCTCTCGACGTCCTTGAGTGTAGACTCAAGGACATCGACGGTGAGCTCACTAGGGTGCTTCAGCAGAAGCGCGTCGCGAACGGAGGCAAGGCGGTCAGGGAGGCTAGTGGCGATGAAATAGATAGTAATCGCCATAGGGGGAGGAAGCAGTGCAAGCTGTGCCTCAGTGCAAGCAGCGCGGTAACTAGCGTCGAGCGAGCGGAGGTGAGCGATCAAGTCAGCAGAGCGCTCAAACGAGGCGAGATCAGGAAACAGGAACGGGAGGAAAAGACGGCCAAGAGAGACAGTAGCGGGAGTAGAGTAGCGGGCCTTAATCGCAGTGAGGTACGCAGCAGCGGTGCGAACCTGAGTGAAGTGGACCTCCTCTGACTCAGGGAGGAGGCTGCTGAGTGCGATGCAGGCCGCAGCGTCACGCGACGTCCAAGCCGTCCTGTCAGCGCGCTGACGGGCAAAGCGAGCCGTAGCAGCATCGTCAGGGGCAGGACCTAAAGCGGCAGGCTCGGGGGGCTCGGGGAGGTCACCAGTAGCGTGCGACCAGAGGGTCTCGCCCCCCTGGACTTGACTCTCTAACAGACGGCGAGCGCGAAGAAGCCAGACGGAAAAGTCAAGAGGTCTACCGTCAGCGTCGAAACGAAGAACTCGCGGAGTCGCCATAGCGAGAACTAACGCGAACGAGCAGGCGAGTAACAGCAGGAGGTAAGAGGCAAATTAGGGTTCAGGTGGGGGGGGGGGGGGGGACTTAGTCGCAGCGGAAGAACGGGCTAGGGCGACGGGCCAGGGCGTAGGGTCGACGGGACGGGGGAAAGGGCGGGCGCGATGCGACGGGGCAGGGCGACGCGACGGGGCAGGGCGACGCGACGGGGCAGGGCGACGGGACGGGGAAGGGCGACGCGACGGGGCAGGGCGACGCGACGGGGCAGGGCGACGGGACGGGGAAGGGCGACGCGACGGGGCAGGGCGACGCGACGGGGCAGGGCGACGGGACGGGGCAGGGCGACGTGACGGGGGGAAAGGGCGCGACGCGACGGGGGGAAAGGGCGCGACGCGACGGGGGGAAAGAGCGCGACGCGACGGGGGGAAAAGGGCGCGACTCGACTGGGGGGAAAGGGCGCGACGCGACGGGGGGAAAGGGACGCGACGAGGGGGAAAGGGCGGGCAGGACGCGACGCTAGGAGTGGCGCTAGGCGCGGCACTACGCGCGGTAACAACGGAACCGGGACGAATGAGAGCTAGGATCAGGCTCGGGAGGCTCGAACGGAGAACGGAGGAACGGGATCCCACAGGATCCTAACCTAACTGATACCATGTCAGAATGAAGAATGGATGATGCATTGATGTTGGTTGGGGTACATATAGCTAACCCTAAGTTTTGTACCCCCTAAGACAAACCTCACTATAGGCTACAACATTTGACAAGGCGTGACCTTGGGGAGGTGGGCGTGGGAAGGAGTTACCTGACTGACCCCCTAAAGCCTCACCTCGGGGTCGACTGCGAGTGTGTTGCGCAGAATGAGTGCCTCCTCTGCCGTCCCACATGCCACGCGCAGCTCACTGCACAGAGGGGACGGCGGAGAGAGGGGGGGAATGGTGGGGCGGGGAAAAGGGAAGTCCAGTTTTGGGACATCTGGAAACTCCTCTACTGACACACACGCCACTCGCAGCTCACTGCACAGAGGAGACGGAGCGGGAGAGAGGAAGGGAGGGGTGTTGAAAGGAGCAGGCGGGAGGAGGACGAGGATGGCGGAGGAGGAGGGAGACGATGCGCATGGTTGTTTGGTTGGCCCCGTGCAAAGAATAACCATCAGCTGTGAGTGTGCGTGCACTGGCAACTGCTGCGGCCTGCTGGTAAGGTCATCAGCGCTGCAATGACCCCTCCTAGCGGACAAGGGTGTGGAGAATGTGGGGTCATTGCCAGTCCGCCTGTGGGTGCAGAAAAATGAAAGTGTGGAGGTGAGGATGGTGGGGAAGATGTGCAAGTGAGGATGGAACAAGATGGCCGTGGACGAGGCTGGGGTGAACGCACACACGTCGCCGGCAAAGACGGCTTCGGTGCCATGTGGTTGGGCTGGGTGGATACCATGTGTGGTTGGCGGGAGGAATGGTGGAAGGCGGCTGAGCGGCAGTGGTGGTTGAGGTGGTGGTGGCGACAGCAGCCATGGCCCCCACGCCTGCCCTGTGAATGGTGCACGGGAAAGCGGTCAAGCAGGGAAAGGGCAAGGCGGGGAATGGTAAAAGCGGGGAAGGGGCGAGGAGGGAAAAGGGGTAAGGAGGGGGTGAGTGGGACGAGGGGCAGGTGAGTGGGGAAGCGTGGAGGGCGAAAGGAGGGGGAGATGAGGGAAGACAGGCAGGAGAGCGAGAGGAGAGGGAGCGTGGCGCAGGCGAGTGCCGTTGGCTGAGATGAGAGTGCCGCGGGTCCGCGTGCGCACGGGGACGGATGGGGGGAAGAGCGGCGCGAAAAGAGAATGGAGAAGGGGGAGTGGGGGATGGGAGGCGGCATGGCGGCGACGCAGGGGAGAGGCGGAGAGAGGGCGGAGGCGAGGAGCCGCTGCGCAGATGAAGGGTGGAAAGCGGGAGGCGGCGCGCGCGCGACGGGCGGAGCAGCGGAGAGAGAGTGGGCGCGGGCTGCCAAACGATTCGCGGGCGCAAAGTGTGGACGCTACACTCAGTGGCCGACCCCGCGGCGGCCCACCTTGTGCAAGCGGCGCGTGGTAGCGGAGTCGACACCTGAGCGGCGATTGGGCTACGCAAAGCCGTAACTAGTTTGCTAGCGGCAGAGTTTGCTGACCAATGCCGATCCGTCCGCCAGTAATGAAAACGAGGCGACGTGGTTCTCTCGTTTGAATCTGCTTCGCCTACTCTCTTGATTCACTTCAGCACTGTCAGATGCTTATGTATATACGTCCTTATACTATTTGACATTACAATCGATGCTTATAAAAGGGTACCTTCGTAGCATGGAAAGGAGATTTAGCATGGACGACAGCGAGAGTTGTCCAATGCTTAAGAAATTATTGAACCTACGGTATTGAATTTTGGCACGGCATGAAGGCATCAAAGCTTCCTAAGACCAACCTCCTACACTAATGCGATGTGTACCCATGCAGCAGCTGGCAAGGCTGGCAAGCAACCCACAACACGTCACAGGCTATTGGCGAGGCGCATTGCCAGCTGGCAGTGGCTCTTGGCTTCCTCAAGTCGCTTCAGCAGCGTCTCCTCCTTGACAGCAGCGCCCACCATCTGCATGTCCACTCCCATCAGCTGCACCACCCGCGTCAACTCAAACAGCACCTGCAGCCGGTTCACCACGCCCCTCTTCCCGCCTTCACCACCCCCCCCTGCTGCTCCCTCCGCCGCAAAACCCTCCATCCCACTCCGCGGAACAGCCGCCGCGCCAGTGCGCACAGGAGCAGCAGCAGCAGCGGCGGCGGCACCGCCCTCGCCTTCCTGCCGGAGCGCCTGCACCTCCTTCTCCACGCGCGCGAGCACCACGCGCCCCGCCGCGGCGATGCTCTGCCCCGACCCGAACGGGCGGTCCAGCAGCCCGCCAAACACAAACAGCACGTCGAGAATCGCCTCCACGCGCGTCGGCGCCGGCGCCTGCCACTCCGCCCTGCGCCGCCGCGCCTCCTCCAACACCGGGTCCGCCTCGCCGCCCGCCTCGCCCCCCGCCTCGCCCCCCGCCTCCCCTCCCTGCTCCTGGCCTGGCTGGGTCCTTAGTGACCCGTTATCCTCCGCCGATGCTGCTGCCGCCCTCACCGCTCGGCGCCCTGCTGTTGCTGCTGCCGCTGCCGCGTGCAGCCCTGTGAAGGCCTGGGGAGGGTGAGCGAGTGCAGGAGGGAATGCAGCTGGCCTGCCGCGCAGCGAGGCGACGGGCTGGAGTGGTGCGATGATGGGCATGAGAGCGGCGCGCGGCAGAAGCGCGGTGTGTGCCATGAGGGCAGAGGAGAGATTGACAGCTGCAGCGGCGCGTGGTGCAGTGGCGAGGGGCAAGGAAGGTTGGATTAGGGTTACTGGCGAAGACAGGGACAGCGCTATCGAAGGTGCTGGCAAGGGGGAGAGTGAGCGAAGGGTACAGGGGAAAGAGAGGGCGAATCCGAAGGTCAGTTTGCGAGGTTCGAGTTCGAGGAGTTCGAGTTTTGAGGCATGGCCCATGGGTGGTGAACCTTCGGTTTGGTAGAGGCTTGGAAATGCCCCTGACAGCCCCCGAACCCGCACGCTCGTGGCACACTGGGCAAAGGAAAAACCTTTCTTTCTCGTTAACATACGCTTCACTTTACGGTAAATTTAGCGTTTTACCCTGTTGATGCATATAAATATGAATTTTGTTGGTAAACTTTAATACATGATGTTTTTCTAGGTTATCTGATCAATAATGGATTTTTTATAGCTCTAAATGTATCCAGAAACATGCAAAACCGCACTACACCTTTTTTTTGACATTTCGAGAGGCGCATGACATACCGTGACACATCTCCTCAAGGGTGTTCATTAATGCAATTGCATTGCTTTACATTTCCTTTGATGTGTTGTTTGATTAGTATTTTGAAACAGCAATTTGAAGCTAAAGCCAATGATTTCTTCTCTGTAGGCTGCAGGGTGGAAACCACCGCCAACTTCTCGCGATTTCGACCCCTCCCTCCATCCTCTCGCCCTGCCTGCTCCCGCTGTCCTCGCTGCCCTTGCTGCCCTTTTATCACCATCCCAACCTTGAATCATTTCTCGTCTGGCGTTTCTTAGCAGGCGCTACTCTTGAAATTTTATCTGCAACTCGTAACGGATGGAACCAGGCGAGGAGGAGAACCAGCCGTGGATGGCTTCCGGCTTCGACCGAGGAACGGAAACCACCGCCAACTTATTTCATTTCTGTGAGCCTCTCCACTTCCCTCGACCCCTCCCTCCATCCTCTCGCACTGCCCTCGCTGCCCTCCCTCCCCCACAAAGCGGATTTCCAAGTGAAAAATAGTCGCGACATGACATGAGAATATCTGTCGGTCTCATACTTCATAAGTCCTCACGCCTTGCGCAGCTGTTGTCATTGTCGTCATGTCCTGTCAGCGGATCATCGTCCGTTGCATTTCGCTAATCGGTTACCATCCAATCCATTTCGTTGGCCGGTTTCGTGCAGGATGATTCCTTGGCGAGGAGGGACTGGTACTCCGTGAACTCGCCCTCCATGTTGGGCACCAGGAACGTCTGCCAGAGGCTCGTTACCCGCGCACAGGGTGCCAAGGTGAGCCGAGGTCATAGAGTCAGGCAGCACTGCAGATGACAAGTGCAGCCGAGATGGCCAAGGGTGTGACGATGGAGGGATGCATGTGTGATGCCTGATGCATCTGTGGAATTGGTGCAGCCAGTGACGCTCAGGAGGGAGCGAGGCGGCACTTGAGGTGAGATGCCAGGGGGTGTGATTATGGGGTGACGCATGTGTAGATGGGGTGGGGAATGGGAGGGCGGCAGCAGGGTGTCCCCAGTCCAGCGCGGGGCAGCGCTGTTGTCATGGCTGCCACCGCAACTATCATCTGGGGCACAGTGCCTTCGCTCCTTGAACGCCACGCTCGCTGTTGCCTCGTGCCCGTGAGGCCACGCGGGCTGCTGTTCTACATTGCCACGCGGGCTGCTGTTCTACATTGCCACGCGGGCTGCTGTTCTACATTGCGGCGCCCATGCGCCGCCTTTTGCCTCGTGCTTTTCGCCCCTGTCGCGTAAAATTTATTATCCCATCTGCTCGCGTGTGCCTGCAGGTTGGCGGGCAAGCTTTGCCGTGCCGCTCCCTCGACAAAGTGCAGAAGCTCGGGCGTGTGTGAGCAGGAGCTCGGGCAAGCTCTGCTGTGCCGCTTCCTGGACAACGCAGAAGCTCGGGCGAGAGCTACATGGCGGCGTGTCGGTCGCAACTTGAGGCACCTTCCTCAGTCCGCGACGTTCCTCAGTGGTACGCCTGGTGCTTCACCTTCCTTTTCCTCCCTTGGCCTCAACTCATCTCTTCCGCCTTGAACCCTCCACGCGCCTGGTCTATGCGTTCCTCGCTTCCTGCTCTCCCACGTCACTCGCTCTCTCTCTCTCATCGCGGGTCCAGTGACGATGATGCCTTTCGGGGCGCCCATGTGATTCACCGTGAACGAAGCAAACACAAAACGACTTCTCCTTCTTCTGAGGACCCCCTCCATCACTGTTGATGCTCGTATTGCGTCATTGCTCGTATTGCCTCTACCATACCCGAAACCCTCTGTGTTACTGTTTGCGTGAAGCTATTCTCCGTTGTTGCTTGCTGCCTCTGCGTGCATTGCGTGGTGGCCAGTTGACGAGAACCATAACCGGTGCATGATGAGATGCGTGCATCAGTGAATGCCAAGTTAACTCTAATTTTTTCCTGATGGCTCGCCACGCCACAACGCCGCAGCCCCGCTTGTCTTCGCTCTGCTTCTCGCATTTGCCTGTCCTTGCGCTGCTGCTTGCATGCGGTAATCCCGCCCACCCCCTGGGTTTTGGGTTTAGGGTTTGCCTCAGGGATGACCCAAACATTCAAGCTCAACAGGCCCGAGGCCCGCCCTCCGCCTTACAGGGCGAGGGCAACACGGCCGGTGACGGTTACTCCGCTGATCTGAGAGGCATTGCACGCTCGTTGCCGTAGCTCGCTCTTTTGCATTTTCATTTTACCAGCATGAGTCCGCTTTGTTGTCTTGTCTCGAGTAGCTCACTCACGTGCGTCGAAGGACTGAGTTGGAGCGCGTCGGCCTCTGAGGCATCGCGCGCTCCTTAGTTGCCCTTCGCACAGCCAAGGCGTGCGGCCATTATAGCGGCGGGGCCGGGCCCCGCACGTCGCGTCAGCACGCCCGCCTGCCGCTCTCGCGGTTGGCTGATCTCGCGGATGCCGCCGGCGGTCGGCCTCTGCCCGTGCGACCCACTGGTTTGTCGCCCGCCGTCGGTGTTGGCGAGACGCGGCTCTCCGCGGGGCGCTGGTGTGCGCCTGGCGCGGCTGCACCCTCTGTGGCGCCGCCGCGTCGGAGGCCGCTCACACCCCTCGTCGTCATCCCTCCCTCTTCCCCACTTCGTAACGGCTAAGCCCACGGCTCCTCAAGAAAGATTTTGCTGTCCTGTGCTCTTGTCCCCCCTCTGAATACACAGGCTCTCAACTACCGCACAACCCGATGCTGTTTCTCTCGCCAGTCTCCGCGGGGCCTTTTGCAGTGCTGGTTGCGCTCGATCCCCCTCGAACATCACAACAAGCGCGTCTGGTGAGTGCGCTACTCAGTGCTGGCGGATTCCGCGAGCGAGCAGTGGGATTGGGGTGGGTGGGGAGCGAGCAGGGCGATGGTGTGGGTGGGTGGTGTCGGGAGCGAGCGCGCTTGTTACCAATGCCCTGGGACCCCCTGTTTCCAGCGGTCACAATGGCTTAAGCGCCACACCATGGGCCGCTGGCCTGCGATGGAAATTCTTGCTTTGGGGACAACACTGTTCCTCTGAGCCGGGAAAGCCATGGCACATTCACTCACCCCTGCAAAGATCCGTCTTTGCTGCAACCTTATTCTATATTGGCGCTTTTTAATTCCCTTGACTGGGGGGCTTGCCAGGGTTTAGGTTTAAGTGGTGGTTGCAGTGATGAAGCTCAACGGTTTCAGACTAGAGTTTCTGAGCCTCTGGCGTTGACGAGGACTCCTTTGGCTGTCTGAGCAACCACGCTTGCCTCGTAGCTTCTGCTGCTGTCACCTTGTGGCTTCCCTTGCAGCAGCCCGTTTTTCCCTTCGTAGCTGTTTCAGACCCGTTCCCCTCGTAGCTGCTGTAGACGCGTTTCCCTGACCGCCTTGATAATCCCGGCTGTGCCCGGCGCTGTCTCAGCGGCGGTGGCATGGTCGTTTCATGCAGGGCGCACACCATCCGCCCGCCTCACGGCTGGGCGCCGGGGTTTATTGCTCATGGGCGTCTTCTGGTCGGTGGTGCGAGGGCCCTGTGGCTCTCGTGCTGCTGCCTCCATGGATGTCCCTTATAATACACTTCGACAATTTCTGCAATGCCTCTAATTGAATTTCCTGTTTCTGCTGCTTTTGCAATTCAGAATGGCGTACACTGCAAGCAAGGCAACCCTCGACGGCTTTGAGACTTCGGCGTAGCTCTCACTGCTACACAGTTTGATTCTGTTGTAAATGTGTATTTTCCTACGGTAGTATTTCGTTCCCGTGTAACTTCGGATATGGCATGAAGTATTGTTTGAAGTATGTTAATAGACAATCAAGTTATGATGAGGATTTCTCAGGTTTGATTGCAGATACACGGTAGTGTTAGTGGAGGAATGGCAGTATTACCGTAGATCCAGTAGTGTCTATATCTACTGCACACTTGTTACACCATTGTTTAGCACATCATGGAATCTAAAGTAACCATTATTGCAAAACGCCTGGTCATGAAACTGCCACCTGGAAAATAACCCCAGGACACATTTCCTCAGGGGTGTTCATTGGTGCAACTGCATTACTTCACAGGTTACCACTCATGCCATTACACATGGGTTCTATAGAACTGTGGTGCAAGTTCAGGCAACCAGAGAGCATCAATGCGGGTGACACCGCGCGCGTACAGCCTGTTGGTGCGAACCATCTCGTTAAACACTATGCAGTCCGGAAGATGCGCACGCGCAGGTGCTGCTGCCTGCTGCTCGCCCCCACTCTTGCTGCTCTTGCTGCGGTTGCTGCCGCCGCCCCCTCTGCTGCCACCAATGGTGCTGCTGCTGGTGGCGCCGCCGCTGAAGAGAATTGACGATGGGTGGATTGCCACCACCTGCCCGCTGGCTAGTGCCCTGAGAGGAGTGGGGTGGGGGGGAAAGAGGAAGAATGATATTTTCTAGACGTTTCAAAAAGCTGCCACAGATGGTGATGCTGCTGCTGCTGCTGCTGCTGGTGGTGGCGCCGCCGCTGAAGAGAACGGAGGATGGGTGGATCGCCACCACCTGCCCGCTTGCTAGTGCCCTGGGAAGGAGAGGCAGACAAGGGGTCAGGGAATAAAACTTGCTAAAAAATGGGTTGAAGATTGAAGAGAGCCGAGATGGGTGGATCGCCACCACCTGCCCGCTGGCTAGTGCCCTGGGAGGAGGGGTGGAGGTTGGGAGGGGAGAAAGGAGACAATACTTGAGACGTATTGAAAAGCTGACGCTGATGGTGCTGCTGCTAGTGGCGGCACCGCTGAAGAGAACTGAGCATGGGTGGATTGCCACCACCTGCCCACTGGCTAGTGCCCTGGGTGCAGGGGGGTGGGGTGGGGGGAAGAGGAAGAATGCTCTTTGTGAGACGTTTCAAGAAGCTGCCACAGATGGTTGTGCTGCTGCTGGTGGTGGAGCTAGTGCCCTGGGAAGGTGAGGGTGCAGGCGAGAAGGCAGAGAGGGGGACAATGAGAAGGCAGGCAGAAAGTGGTGGCGATAACAAGGCCGTGGGGCCCTGAGGAGCAGAGCTCCAGAGAGCACGCCACCTGATAGCACGCCACCTGATAGCACGCCACCTGATTGCACGCCACCTGATAGCACGCCACCTGATAGCACGCCACCTGATAGCACGCCACCTGATAGCACGCCACCTGATAGCACGCCACCTGATAGCACGCCACCTGATAGCACGCCACCTGATAGCACGCCACCTGATAGCACGCCACCTGATAGCACGCCACCTGATAGCACGCCACCTGATAGCACGCCACCTGATAGCACGCCACCTGATTGCACGCCACCTGATTGCACGGCACCTGATAGCACGCCACCTGATAGCACAGCACTTGTAGGAAGACCATTGCTCAATTCCTTGCTTTCCAGCCAACTGAGGGCAATGGATGGACTTCAAGCCTCAGATCTCGTACTGAGCGTACAAGGACGTCCAATCCAGTGTAATGGTGCTCTCAATGTGATGCTGCTTGACCTGTGTGCGCATGAGGGTGCGCAAGGCTATCACTGCAGTCTCATGCGCAACAAGCCTCAGTCGTTGCGGCGCCTCAAAAACCAAACCTATGTGGCCGAGAACTCAACAAGCACCGTCCTTCCACCCCTCCAAGATACTTTGGCCCACCCCAGTACCTGCACGTGCCCACCCCAGTACCTGCACGTGCCCACCCCAGTACCTGCACGTGCCCACCCCAGTACCTGCACGTGCCCACCCCAGTACCTGCACGTGCCCACCCCAGTACCTGCACGTGCCCACCCCAGTACCTGCACGTGCCCACCCCAGTACCTGTATGTGCCGTCGGCTTGCTTCTTGGCAGCGTTGGCAAAGAACGCTGCTGTCAGCGCTCGGCGAAACGCAACCGAGTCATCCCTCCGCTGCGCCGCTGCCGCTGCTGCTCCTGCTGCTGAGCCTGTGGGTGTGAGTGCTGATGACGACGGAGGTAGCGGCGAGTGGAAGGTGACGGGTGGAGAGAGGCCGTGACAGTACGCCTGCAGTTGCCTGCAGTGCACGCAGGGGAGAGTGAGGAACATGCAGGCCGGAGGGGCGTGAGGAACATAAGTAACCAAGGAGTGGAAGGTGACGGGTAGAGAGAGGCCGTGACAGTACGCCTGCAGTTGCCTGCAGTGCACGCAGGGGAGTGTGTCGGGCATGCAGGCAGAAGGGGCGTGGGGAACATGAATAACCAAGGAGTGGGAGGTGACTGGCAGGGAGAGGCCGTGACAGTACGCCTGCAGTTGCCTGCAGTGCACGCAGTGGAGTGTGTCGGGCATGCAGGCAGAAGGGGCGTGGGGAACATGAATAACCAAGGAGTGGGAGGTGACTGGCAGGGAGAGGCCGTGACAGTACGCCTGCAGTTGCCTGCAGTGCACGCAGGGGAGAGTGAGGAGCATGCAGGCAGGATGGGCGTGGGGAACATGAATAACCAAGGAGTGGGAGGTGACGGGTAGAGAGAGGCCGTGACAGTACGCCTGCAGTTGCCTGTGCACACAGGGGAGAGAGAGGGACATGCAGGCAGGATGGGCGTGGGGAACATGAATAACCAAGGCGCATGCTTCCCACCCTTACTGACCACCAAAACCCCCTACAAAATTGAAACAAAACCCTGATGACGTGAACACATGCATTCCCTGATCTGCGCCATTCTCACCGGTACACGTCTGCTGCCTTTTTGAGCGAACGTCCATTGAGGTAGTGTGCTTTGCACCACGCCCGCACCCTCCCCTCCCCGCCTTTGCTTTTGAGTCGACTCAAAAGCAGACTCACTGGTACACGTCGGCTGCTTTCTTGAGCGAGCGCGCATTAAGGTAGTGCGCCTTGCACCATGCCCGTATCCTCCCCTCCCTCGCCTTTGCCTGCCGACCAAACCCCTGACCCCCACCACCACTCCCGCTGTTGATGCTCCCATCACGTGCCACGTCAGCAGCCTCGGTGTTTTCGCTGCCCGCTGCCAGATAGCCCCGCAGCACGTTCACCAGCGTGAGATGGTCACCGTCCGGGCAGAAAAATCTCTTCCGGGCAGCATGAGCCTGTGAGCAAAACAACAGTGCATGTAACACGGATTTGGAGCAACCAAGAGAAGGGATAGAGGGGGAGGTCTTGAAACAAACGCGATTTTAAGAAAGGAAGTCTCATGCTATTCCATGCCATGTCAGCACACCACGATGACTTGGATGAGGCTATGTCAGCGCGAAATCAGCCATGTCACATGAGTAACAGCGAGCCACGACATGCCATGTCAGCACTATTACCGCAACAGCAGCAGCATTACCTCAGCAGCAGCATGAGAGGGCGTGTGGAAGGGCGAGTCCACTGAGAGCATGGCCACTGCTGCCACCATGTCGTCCGCCACCGCTGCTGATCCAAGGCGGCATGCCTCCAGTATGGCCTGGAAAGGGTGGAAGGGAGGCGGATGAGAGAGAAACAGAAATGTCAGTGAGTATAACGGACGCGGAGGGTTGCAGTGGCTGCTGCTTCCACAATGTCGTCCGCCACTGCTGCTGACCCCAGTCGATACGCCTCCAGTATGGCCTGAAAGTGTGGTAACGGCGGGAGGAAAGGGGAGAGTGACAGTAGTGATGATGAGCATAATGGTCGAAAAGAATTGGGAGATACGCTGCCATTATCACCTAGGGAGAAGGCGAGGGTTGAGGGCTGAGGGTTGAGGGCGAGTCCACGGAGAGCATGGCCTCTGCTGCCACCACGTTGCTAACCCTAGACAATATGCCTCCAGTATGGCCTGGCGGGTCAGGAAGGGAAGCGGGGACGCGATAATGGGCGTGAGTGTAACGAGCGTGGCAGATGGCAGTTCCCACCTTGGTGTAGGGTCGAGGGGGAAGCGTTCCATGTGTTTCCCCTGTGGCGACAGTGGAGTGGTGCACCCTCCCCATCCGCATTGGCTCACACCTGCCAACGCACACCCCCACCCACCTTGGCATCGACTGGTGTGCGCCCACCCACCTTGGCGTAGACGGGGTCGAGGGGAAAGCGCGCCATGTGTTTCCCCTGTGGCGACAGGCTCCCCTCCGGTGTGAGCGCTCCCAGCGAGAACAGATGCTCCAACGCTCGCAGTATGGCCGCCCTGTAAGGTGGGGAGAGTGCACAGGGGAGAGAGAAATGGGTTGAAGAGGGAGAAACGTGCCAATGTGTTTGCCCTGTGGTGACAGAAGCCCCTCCGGTTTGAGCGCTCCCAGCGAGAACAGATGCTCCAACGCCCGCAGTATGGCCGCCTTGAGGGGGGGCAGGGAAGGGGCACAGGAGGGAGAGAAAGGGGTCGAAGAGGGAAAGCGTGCCATGTGCTTCCCATGTGCTTCCCATGTGCTTCCCCTGTGCTTCCCATGTGCCATGTGCTTCCCCCTTCCGGTGTGAGCGCTCCCAGCGAGAACAGATGCTCCAACGCTCGCAGTATGGCCGGCCTGTCAGGGGGGAGAGAGAGGGGGGAAGGAAGTGTGAATGGAGGGAGGGGAGTAACGGTCAGGAAGTCATTTGAGAAGGCAGTGGGAGAGGCAGCGGAGGATGCCATGGTGGGGGCAAAGGAGACGAGGCACGCACACGCACAGGAAGTGCATCAAACGGCACTTAAGAAAGTATGAAAAGTTCTCACTGTGGAGGCGGGTCGAGGAAGGGGAAGGAGATCAGGTCCTTGACCCCGAGGGCGATGAGCTGCAGCACCACAGAGGCCAGGTTGCAGCACCACAGAGGCCAGGTTGCAGCACCACAGAGGCCAGGTTGCAGCACCACAGAGGCCAGGTTGCAGCACCACAGAGGCCAGGTTGCAGCACCACAGAGGCCAGGTTGCAGCACCACAGAGGCCAGGTTGCAACGCAGCATCTCCGGCACGGGCGAGGGGGAGACAACAAGTGAAGGAGAGACACAACAAGTGAGGCACTCACTGTGGCGGCGGGTCGAGGAAGGGGAAGGACAGCAGGTCCTTCACTCCCAGCGCGATGAGTTGCAGCACCACAGAGGCGAGGTTGCAACGCAGCATCTCGGGAACAGGTGCCTCTGGCAGCGCCTCGAAGGTATCTTCTGTGTACAGCCGGTAGCACTTGCCTGGCGCCTCTCTGCCCGCTCGGCCACTGGGAGGATCAGAAATGGTGTGCGGGGGGTTGATATCAAGAAGGCAAGGGGGAGAGGATGAGAGCGAAGCAAGCAAGGGATGTTGTTCGGTGGATGGTGGAAGGGAAGGCAAGGCACTGAGGAGGAGGCAAGGTTGCAGCGCAGCATTTTTGGCACGGGTGCCTCTGGCAGCGCCTCGAAGGTGCCTTCCGTGTACAGCCGGTAGCACTTGCCTGGCGCCTCCCTGCCTGCCCGGCCGCTGGGAGAAAGGGGTGCGGGAGGGGTGGTGTGAGGGGCAGCGCGAGGGAGGCATGGTGGGCGGGAGGGCACAGGCACGGGCACGGGCACGGGCACGGGCACGGGCATGACCCTTCACTGCCGTTTGAGTCGACTCAAAAGTCGCCTTCACTGCCTGCTCACTCTGCACGAGGCCCCACCTCTCTCCGTCTACCCGTGTCCCCTACCACCTCCACTCCACGTTACCTACACCCATGCATGCACCGCCCTCCGCCAACCTCCTCTACGCAACCATGCCCCTTCACCATGCACCTTCTCTGCCGGGCCTGCTTTTGAGGGCTTGCTGCGCGAATTTCAACTGTGACAGCACCCATGCCCCTTAACTTCACCACGCACCTCCTCTGGCGGGCCTGTGCCTTGGACACGGGCACGACCACGAGCGAGTCAACACCCGTGCGGCAGTTGAACGCCCGCACCTTGACCAGCCCCGCATCCACCACAAAGCGAATCCCCGGAATGGTCACTGACGTCTCCGCTATGTTGGTTGCTAGCACCACCTGGGGATGGAGGGTAGGTGCCGTGGTGAGGGGGAGAATGGGAGAGGGGGAGAGGGCGACAGGCAGGAGAGTTGTTCCCACAAAGCGTATTCCCGGGATTGCCACTGACGTCTCGGCAATGTTGGTGGCTAGCAACACCTGCAGGAAACGTGCGGATGGGGTGGAGTCATGGCGGATGGATGGGGTGGAGTCATGGGGGATGGATGGGGTGGAGTCATGGGGGATGGATGGGGTGGAGTCATGGGGGATGGATGGGGTGGAGTCATGGGGGATGGATGGGGTGGAGTCATGGGGGATGGATGGGGTGGAGTCATGGCGGATGGATGGGGTGGAGTCATGGCGGATGGATGGGGTGGAGTCATGGGGGATGGATGGGGTGGAGTCATGGGGGATGGATGGGGTGGAGTCATGGGGGATGGATGGGGTGGAGTCATGGCGGATGGATGGGGTGGAGTCATGGGGGATGGATGGGGTGGAGTCATGGGGGATGGATGGGGTGGAGTCATGGGGGATGGATGGGGTGGAGTCATGGGGGATGGATGGGGTGGAGTCATGGGGGATGGATGGGGTGGAGTCATGGGGGATGGATGGGGTGGAGTCATGGGGGATGGATGGGGTGGAGTCATGGGGGATGGATGGGGTGGAGTCATGGGGGATGGATGGGGTGGAGTCATGGGGGATGGATGGGGTGGAGTCATGGGGGATGGATGGGGTGGAGTCATGGGGGATGGATGGGGTGGAGTCATGGGGGATGGATGGGGTGGAGTCATGGGGGATGGATGGGGTGGAGTCATGGGGGATGGATGGGGTGGAGTCATGGGGGATGGATGGGGTGGAGTCATGGGGGATGGATGGGGTGGAGTCATGGGGGATGGATGGGGTGGAGTCATGGGGGATGGATGGGGTGGAGTCATGGGGGATGGATGGGGTGGAGTCATGGGGGATGGATGGGGTGGAGTCATGGGGGATGGATGGGGTGGAGTCATGGCGGATGGATGGGGTGGAGTCATGGCGGATGGATGGGGTGGAGTCATGGGGGATGGATGGGGTGGAGTCATGGGGGATGGATGGGGTGGAGTCATGGGGGATGGATGGGGTGGAGTCATGGGGGATGGATGGGGTGGAGTCATGGGGGATGGATGGGGTGGAGTCATGGGGGATGGATGGGGTGGAGTCATGGGGGATGGATGGGGTGGAGTCATGGGGGATGGATGGGGTGGAGTCATGGGGGATGGATGGGGTGGAGTCATGGGGGATGGATGGGGTGGAGTCATGGGGGATGGATGGGGTGGAGTCATGGGGGATGGATGGGGTGGAGTCATGGGGGATGGATGGGGTGGAGTCATGGGGGATGGATGGGGTGGAGTCATGGGGGATGGATGCGGTGGAGTCATGGGGGATGGATGCGGTGGAGTCATGGGGGATGGATGCGGTGGAGTCATGGGGGATGGATGGGGTGGAGTCATGGGGGATGGATGGGGTGGAGTCATGGGGGATGGATGGGGTGGAGTCATGGGGGATGGATGGGGTGGAGTCATGGGGGATGGATGGGGTGGAGTCATGGGGGATGGATGGGGTGGAGTCATGGGGGATGGATGGGGTGGAGTCATGGGGGATGGATGGGGTGGAGTCATGGGGGATGGATGGGGTGGAGTCATGGGGGATGGATGGGGTGGAGTCATGGGGGATGGATGGGGTGGAGTCATGGGGGATGGATGGGGTGGAGTCATGGGGGATGGATGGGGTGGAGTCATGGGGGATGGATGGGGTGGAGTCATGGGGGATGGATGGGGTGGAGTCATGGGGGATGGATGGGGTGGAGTCATGGGGGATGGATGGGGTGGAGTCATGGGGGATGGATGGGGTGGAGTCATGGGGGATGGATGGGGTGGAGTCATGGGGGATGGATGGGGTGGAGTCATGGGGGATGGATGGGGTGGAGTCATGGCGGATGGATGGGGTGGAGTCATGGGGGATGGATGGGGTGGAGTCATGGGGGATGGATGGGGTGGAGTCATGGGGGATGGATGGGGTGGAGTCATGGGGGATGGATGGGGTGGAGTCATGGCGGATGGATGGGGTGGAGTCATGGCGGATGGATGGGGTGGAGTCATGGGGGATGGATGGGGTGGAGTCATGGGGGATGGATGGGGTGGAGTCATGGGGGATGGATGGGGTGGAGTCATGGGGGATGGATGGGGTGGAGTCATGGCGGATGGATGGGGTGGAGTCATGGGGGATGGATGGGGTGGAGTCATGGGGGATGGATGGGGTGGAGTCATGGGGGATGGATGGGGTGGAGTCATGGGGGATGGATGGGGTGGAGTCATGGGGGATGGATGGGGTGGAGTCATGGCGGATGGATGGGGTGGAGTCATGGGGGATGGATGGGGTGGAGTCATGGGGGATGGATGGGGTGGAGTCATGGGGGATGGATGGGGTGGAGTCATGGGGGATGGATGGGGTGGAGTCATGGGGGATGGATGGGGTGGAGTCATGGGGGATGGATGGGGTGGAGTCATGGGGGATGGATGGGGTGGAGTCATGGGGGATGGATGGGGTGGAGTCATGGGGGATGGATGGGGTGGAGTCATGGGGGATGGATGGGGTGGAGTCATGGGGGATGGATGGGGTGGAGTCATGGGGGATGGATGGGGTGGAGTCATGGGGGATGGATGGGGTGGAGTCATGGGGGATGGATGGGGTGGAGTCATGGGGGATGGATGGGGTGGAGTCATGGGGGATGGATGGGGTGGAGTCATGGGGGATGGATGGGGTGGAGTCATGGGGGATGGATGGGGTGGAGTCATGGGGGATGGATGGGGTGGAGTCATGGGGGATGGATGGGGTGGAGTCATGGGGGATGGATGGGGTGGAGTCATGGGGGATGGATGGGGTGGAGTCATGGGGGATGGATGGGGTGGAGTCATGGGGGATGGATGGGGTGGAGTCATGGGGGATGGATGGGGTGGAGTCATGGGGGATGGATGGGGTGGAGTCATGGGGGATGGATGGGGTGGAGTCATGGGGGATGGATGGGGTGGAGTCATGGGGGATGGATGGGGTGGAGTCATGGCGGATGGATGGGGTGGAGTCATGGCGGATGGATGGGGTGGAGTCATGGGGGATGGATGGGGTGGAGTCATGGGGGATGGATGGGGTGGAGTCATGGGGGATGGATGGGGTGGAGTCATGGGGGATGGATGGGGTGGAGTCATGGGGGATGGATGGGGTGGAGTCATGGGGGATGGATGGGGTGGAGTCATGGGGGATGGATGGGGTGGAGTCATGGGGGATGGATGGGGTGGAGTCATGGGGGATGGATGGGGTGGAGTCATGGGGGATGGATGGGGTGGAGTCATGGCGGATGGATGGGGTGGAGTCATGGGGGATGGATGGGGTGGAGTCATGGGGGATGGATGGGGTGGAGTCATGGGGGATGGATGGGGTGGAGTCATGGGGGATGGATGGGGTGGAGTCATGGGGGATGGATGCGGTGGAGTCATGGGGGATGGATGCGGTGGAGTCATGGGGGATGGATGGGGTGGAGTCATGGGGGATGGATGGGGTGGAGTCATGGGGGATGGATGGGGTGGAGTCATGGGGGATGGATGGGGTGGAGTCATGGGGGATGGATGGGGTGGAGTCATGGGGGATGGATGGGGTGGAGTCATGGGGGATGGATGGGGTGGAGTCATGGGGGATGGATGGGGTGGAGTCATGGGGGATGGATGGGGTGGAGTCATGGGGGATGGATGGGGTGGAGTCATGGGGGATGGATGGGGTGGAGTCATGGGGGATGGATGGGGTGGAGTCATGGGGGATGGATGGGGTGGAGTCATGGGGGATGGATGGGGTGGAGTCATGGGGGATGGATGGGGTGGAGTCATGGGGGATGGATGGGGTGGAGTCATGGGGGATGGATGGGGTGGAGTCATGGGGGATGGATGGGGTGGAGTCATGGGGGATGGATGGGGTGGAGTCATGGGGGATGGATGGGGTGGAGTCATGGGGGATGGATGGGGTGGAGTCATGGGGGATGGATGGGGTGGAGTCATGGGGGATGGATGGGGTGGAGTCATGGGGGATGGATGGGGTGGAGTCATGGGGGATGGATGGGGTGGAGTCATGGGGGATGGATGGGGTGGAGTCATGGGGGATGGATGGGGTGGAGTCATGGGGGATGGATGGGGTGGAGTCATGGGGGATGGATGGGGTGGAGTCATGGGGGATGGATGGGGTGGAGTCATGGGGGATGGATGGGGTGGAGTCATGGGGGATGGATGGGGTGGAGTCATGGGGGATGGATGGGGTGGAGTCATGGCGGATGGATGGGGTGGAGTCATGGCGGATGGATGGGGTGGAGTCATGGGGGATGGATGGGGTGGAGTCATGGGGGATGGATGGGGTGGAGTCATGGGGGATGGATGGGGTGGAGTCATGGGGGATGGATGGGGTGGAGTCATGGGGGATGGATGGGGTGGAGTCATGGGGGATGGATGGGGTGGAGTCATGGGGGATGGATGGGGTGGAGTCATGGGGGATGGATGGGGTGGAGTCATGGGGGATGGATGGGGTGGAGTCATGGGGGATGGATGGGGTGGAGTCATGGGGGATGGATGGGGTGGAGTCATGGGGGATGGATGGGGTGGAGTCATGGGGGATGGATGGGGTGGAGTCATGGGGGATGGATGGGGTGGAGTCATGGGGGATGGATGCGGTGGAGTCATGGGGGATGGATGCGGTGGAGTCATGGGGGATGGATGGGGTGGAGTCATGGGGGATGGATGGGGTGGAGTCATGGGGGATGGATGGGGTGGAGTCATGGGGGATGGATGGGGTGGAGTCATGGGGGATGGATGGGGTGGAGTCATGGGGGATGGATGGGGTGGAGTCATGGGGGATGGATGGGGTGGAGTCATGGGGGATGGATGGGGTGGAGTCATGGGGGATGGATGGGGTGGAGTCATGGGGGATGGATGGGGTGGAGTCATGGGGGATGGATGGGGTGGAGTCATGGGGGATGGATGGGGTGGAGTCATGGGGGATGGATGGGGTGGAGTCATGGGGGATGGATGGGGTGGAGTCATGGGGGATGGATGGGGTGGAGTCATGGGGGATGGATGGGGTGGAGTCATGGGGGATGGATGGGGTGGAGTCATGGGGGATGGATGGGGTGGAGTCATGGGGGATGGATGGGGTGGAGTCATGGGGGATGGATGGAGTGGAGTCATGGGGGATGGATGGAGTGGAGTCATGGGGGATGGATGGAGTGGAGTCATGGGGGATGGATGGAGTGGAGTCATGGGGGATGGATGGAGTGGAGTCATGGGGGATGGATGGAGTGGAGTCATGGGGGATGGATGGAGTGGTTGGACGGAAGGGACGTCAGGCAGCGTCCAGCAGGTCACTTGACGGGTGGAGGATGATCGTGCCATGATGGCCTTTGAGTCGACTCAAAAGCTGATCGTGCCATGATGGCCCGAGCGGTGGGGAGCACTGGAGAGGTGTAGAATGGAAGGAAGGTGGGAGGGGACGAGATGAGGAGGGAAGAGCGGAGAGGAACACACAGCACCGCACCACTTGGTTGCGCATGGTATGCAGAACAATAAGTAGCATCGACGAGATCAACAACCTAATCTGGTCGCACACATTGACTACTTCAACATGCATTTACAACCAGCCCAGTCCCGCCCAACCCAACCAAAACCAGCCGTTCAACCAAACTGCCCATCTCCTAACCCCCCAGCCCGCCCCTCCACCCCGCACCGCACTGCACCTTTCTGCACCCAGCGGGCGCGGGGCGGAACACGTTCATCTGCTGCTCCACCGGCAGCACCGCATAGATGGGCGCAACAGCCAGCGAACCACCACTAGCCCCAATCTCTCCATCCACTAACACAAATCCCTCCACCCAGCACCGCACTGCACCTTTCTGCACCCAGCGGGCGCGGGACGGAACACGTTCATCTGCTGCTCCGCAGGCAGAGCCGCATAGATCGGCGCCACAGCCAACGGCGGCGTCCCGGGAGGAAGCTTCGCCGCACGTTCCTGCAGCAGCCTCGCCATGGCCTCTATATCCTCCTGCCCCGTGAGGAACACGAGAATATCGCCCGCCTGCCCCGGCGCTGAACTCTCTATAGGGTGATCCGTGTGTATCTGTAACACGGTAACCAGCGCCGCGTCGAGGAAGTCTGGCTCGGGGGCGGGCGTGTAGAGCACCTGCACGGGGAAGGGCGATTTTATGCTGAATCTGTAATTTTAGAATTCTCAAGAAACGAAGACAGGTTTGGGGGCGGGGCTGTAGAGCACCTGCACAGGGTGCTGCCTGCCGCGGATGTAGTCTGCGTGGGCACTGGGGAAGAAGTCCAGGAACTTGCGCGACTCCAGTCCAGCGATGTTGAATTTACATTTGAGAATACTCAGAAGTAGCCTCACCTGCACGGGGTGCTGCCTACCTGCACGGAGTGCTGCCTGCCGCGGATGTACACTGCATGTGCGCCGGGGAAGAAGTCGAGGAACTTGCGCGACTCGAGGGTTGCCGACATCACTACCAGCTTCAACTCGCCCTCACTTGAGCTTGCACCTGTGCTTGTGCCTGCAGCTGCGACTGTGCCTGCGGAAGCCTCGTCAATTTGCCCGTCTGCCTCTCTGTCTGCTTCTCCCTCCCTGCCCTCCTCTTCTCTCCGTCGCTTCTTTCTCTTCTGCCCCTCGGCAGCGCCATCTGCTGCCTGACTCCCACCGCCCACCACCTTCCCCTTCTGTCCTTGCTCGCCCATCCCTGCTCCATTCGACCCCTGCGCGCCCTTCCCTGCACCCGCCCCCCCTGTGGCGAGCGCATGTCTGCGGGCCTGCACCTGCTGCAGCAGCCCCAGCAGCACGTCCGTGTTCACGGTGCGTTCATGCGCCTCATCCACCACCACCACTCCGTACCTCCTCAACAGTGGGTCTAGTAAAGCCTCCCTGGAGGTTGTGGAGGGGAGAGAAAGGAGGTTGGTGAGAGAGTGTTGCCCCAGCAGCACATCCGTGTTGACAGTGCGCTCATGGGCCTCGTCCACCACCACCACTCCGTACCTCCTCAACAGAGGATCCAGCAAAGCTTCCCTGTGGGTTCACGAGTGGGAAATGGGGAAAAAGGGTGTTTGCCTCGGCACACCTGGGCGTTCACGATGCCCTCGTGGGCATCGTCCACCACCACCACGCCGTAGCGACGCAGCAGAGGGTCTAGCAAAGCTTCCCTGTGGGTTTATGAGTTGGGAATGGGAAGAAAGGTGCTTGCCTCGTCACACCAGAGTGTTCACGGTGCGCTCATGAGCCTCATACACCACCACCACGCCGTGCCGCCTCAACAGCGGGATACTTGTAGTTGACTTCCGCCCTACAAAGCACCACCTTGGCCCTAATATCCTGCACCTCACCTGAGCAGCATGCCATGGGTGAGGTACTCGATGCGCGTGCAGTATCCCAACTCCTGCCCCACGTCCCCGACCCCCTCCTCCGCCACCCTACAGAGCACCACCTTATCCCTCACCGCACCTGAGAAGCATGCCGTGAGTGAGGTACTTGATGCGCGTGTGGGAGGAGGTGACATGGACTTGACCCGCCACCGCTAAGTACCACACTAGGTGAGGACCCGCCATCTTAATCCTCACCGCACCGCACCTGAGCAGCATGCCATCGGTAAGATACTTGATGCGCGTGCGGGTGGAGGTGAGGTCCTCGAATCGCACGCTGTACCCCACCTCCTGCCCCACGCCCCCCCCCTCTCCTCCGCCACCCTCCTCCGCCACCCTCCTCCGCCACCCTCCTCCGCCACCCTCCTCCGCCACCCTCCTCCGCCACCCTCCTCCGCCACCCTCCTCCGCCACCCTCCTCCGCCACCCTCCTCCGCCACCCTCCTCCGCCACCCTCCTCCGCCACCCTCCTCCGCCACCCTCCTCCGCCACCCTCCTCCGCCACCCTCCTCCGCCACCCTCCTCCGCCACCCTCCTCCGCCACCCTCCTCCGCCACCCTCCTCCGCCACCCTACAGAGCACTGCCTTCTCCCTCACCGCACCTCACCTCAGAAGCATGCCGTCAGTAAGATACTTGATGCGCGTGTGCGAGCTCGTGACGTCTTCAAATCGCACGCTGTACCCCACCTCCTGCCCCACGCCCACCCCCCCTCTCCTCCCTCCTCCGCCACCCTACAGAGCACCACTACCTCATTCCGCACCTGAGCAGCACGCTATCGGTAAGATGCTTGATGCGCGTGCGGGTGGAGGTAACAGGGAGCTGACCTGCGTCTTACTTACTATCGCTCACCTGGGCAGCATGCCATCGGTAAGGTACTTGATGCGCGTGTGGGAGCTGGTGACGTCTTCAAAGCGCACGCTGTACCCCACCTCCTGCCCCACGCCCACGCGCCCCCCGCCCCCCCCCCCCTGGCCCCACCCTACAGAGCACAACCTTTGCCCGCACCTCACCTGAGAAGCATGCCGTCAGTAAGATATTTGATACGCGTGCGCGAGCTGGTAACATCTTCAAATCGCACGCTGTACCCCACCTCCTGCCCCACGCCCACGCCCCTCTCCTCTCTCCCCCGCCACCCCACAGAGCACCACTACCTCATTCCTCACCTGAGCAGCATGCCGTCAGTAAGGTACTTGATACGCGTGTGCGAGCTGGTGACGTCTTCAAAGCGCACGCTGTAACCCACCTCCTGCCCCACGCCCACGCCCCTCTCCTCCGCCACCCGCGCCGCCACCGTCACCGCTGCCACACGCCGTGGCTGTGTGACGGCAATGGCTTGGTGTGGGGCGAGCAGGCCGGATGAGAGAATGAACTGAGGGAGCTCTGGGGGGGAGTGAGAGGGAGAAAGGGAGGGAGAGAATTAGTGGGCGATACACCGTCACTGCTGCCACTCTGCGCGGCTGTGTGACGGCGATAGCTTGGTGCGGGGCGAGCAGGCCGGAGGAAAGGATGAACTGTGGGAGCTCTGGTTGGGAGGGCAGGAGAGGGGAAGGAAGAGAATCAGTGGGGAGGGAGTGACTATCATCTCTGCCAAGCGCCGAGGCTGTGTCATGGCAATGGCCTGGTGTGAGGCGAGCAGGCCGGATGAAAGAATGAACTGGGGGAGCTCTGGGGGAAGGAGAGGGAAAAAGGGAGGGAGAAAATCAGTGGGTGAGCCACTGTCACCGCTGCCACGCTGCGCGGCTGTGTGACGGCGATGGCTTGGTGCGGGGCGAGCAGGCCCGAGGAAAGAATGAACTGGGGGAGCTCTGGTGGGAAGGGAGAGGGAGAAAGGGAGGGAGAGACGGAGGGAGAGAATCAGTGGGTGAGCCACTGTCACTGCTGCCACGCGCCGTGGCTGTGTCACGAGCAGGCCGGAGGAGAGAATGAACTGGGGGAGCTCTGGTGAGGAAGGAGAGGGTAAAAGGGAGGGAGAGAATCAGTGGGTGAGTCTTTGTCACTGCCGCCACTCTGCGCGGCTGTGTCACGGCGGCGGCTTGGTGTGGGGCGAGCAGGCCGGAGGAGAGGATGAACTGAGGGAGCTCTGGTGGGGAGGGAGGGGGCGAAGTGGGAGAGGGAACGGGAATGAATGAAGGAATCGCTGTTACTACTGCCAGCCACCCGCCGCGGCTGTGTGATGGTGATGGCCTGGTGTGGGGCGAGCAGGCCGGAGGAGAGAATGAACTGGGGGAGCTCTGGGGGGAAGGGGATGGAAGGGGAGATGGAGAGTGGGAGAACGGGAGGGAGAAAGAGAGTGAGTGAGTGAGTGAGTGAGTGGGTGAGCCACCATCACTGCTGCCACTCCGCGTGGCTGTGTGACGGCAATGGCCTGCTGTGGGGCGAGCAGGCCGGATGAAAGAATGAACTGGGGGAGCTCTGTGGGGGAGGAAAAGGAGAGAGGGAGGAGAGATGGGGGACGGGAATGAAGGAATTACTGTCACCGCTCTCACTCTGCGCGGCTACACAGCCGATAAAAGAATGAACTGGGGGAGCTCTGGGGGGAACGGAAAGGAGATCACTTTTGAGGATTCTCAAGAACGACAAGTGGCTCCACAGAGAATGGCGAAAGGGAGGGGGGGGGGGAGTGGAAGAGTGAGAGAAGGTACTTGTGATGGTGATAGGCGGGGAGAGCCAATGAGGATGTTCCGGGGGAAGGATAAGAGAGTGGGAAAGCGGGAGAGCGGGAGAGGGCGGCGGTGGGAGGGACTCACGAGTGGTCTTGCCGCTGCCCGTCTCGCCCACCACCACGAGTGTGTGTGCTGCCCGCACCTCCTCCACCAGCTGCTGCTGCACTGCACCACAGTACCACAGGGTGACACGGGCCGTGTCTCAGATGGAATGGAAGGGTAATTGATTGGATGGATGGAAGTGGTGGAGCGTATTGGCGGGTATTGAAAGTAAAAGGGAATGGAGGATTGCAAATGGTTATGAAGGGCATTGGAGGGTATTGAAGGGTACTGAAGGGTAGTGACGTCCCTGCAGCCATGGGATGCCTCCAATCATGGGGGTGCCGTACCTGCAGCCATGGGGACGCCGTACCTGCACCCTTGGGTTCCCATGCCATACCTGCGGAGATGGGAAGCTGCTTCGCCATTTCCCTCGCCGCGCGCATCCGCGCCTCCCGCTCCGCGGGACCGATGCCCGCGCGTATCTCCCGCTTGCCCATGCCGCCCGCCGCTCCCGACCGCAGAAACCCCGGGGTCTGGGTTTCCGGGTTCAGGGTTCTGACAGAAACCCTGGTTTTCGGATTCAGGAAAGCCTTTGAGTCGGAGTCTGGATCTGGGAATCTGGAACCCTGGTTCGTTCTACGAGCCGGAAGCCCGGCGGCGAAGTTACCAGAAAGCCGTAGTGGCAGCGCCGTTACAGACGGCGGGACTACATGGGTGGAGGGTGGAGAGAGTGGGGTGCGCGCGGATTGGCGGCGCCGCTGGTCGCCGCAAGTCGCTGGCTGCAGCGAAACCGCCCCGTTCAACAATTTCTAGAGCGCTTCTCCTCCATGCAGTTATTGCGCCGTGTCACGTGAACTCACTAAATCGTAGGAGCTCTCTCAACGGTTTCAAAACCAGCAAACGCGCGCTAGATTGCGAAGCTTCCTGCCGAAACGTAATGATTAGAGAAAGAGTTTGTTAGTCGTGACTCGCCCTGTTCCGCGACTTTCCGACGCCAATATCGCGAAGTACGCGCTTCGGTACTTTTTGGTTCAAAATACTTGTTTGCGATGTCTGCGTTACAGTGAGACTAGTTAAGCGGAAAGAAGTGACAAATATTACATTCTTTACTAATCATCATTTTGTAATAATGGTCGTACCCTATCTGCTGCTACTGTTCAATCCAAACAGGCCATCTAATTCCTGACACATGCAATCTCGCCCTGAATTTGTTCCACCACTTGTTTTCACCACTTTCACTACCCTTCGGACCCCGAGCTCTCAGTTTCGTTCTACCGCCCAGTACCGTAGGTAGTACCATCAACTAAAGTGAGGTACGGCTTTTAGGTAGCTGGAAAGCGTAGTCCTGGCAGTCAGGCTGTGAGATAGATTCGGATATGGGTGCTGCAGATAATCAGCCCCACAAACCACTAGCCAAAGCGGTGCATTGCATTCATTCGTAAAGAGCTGACCAGGGCCAGGCAAATAGCCAGCCAACATGTCACGCAATTCTGGAAAGCGCAAGAGACACCTACATCATGCACTGCCCACTAGCCATGTCACGACTATGTACAGCAAGCACGTTGGGGAGCACTGTGCAGTGAGGCCAGAGGAGCTTCAGGGAAGCCTAGACGAGATTAAAGCGCGGGAGGGTCGTGCAGGACGGCAGTGGTAAGGTCGGTGACTTTGGGGTATGACACTCTGCCGTCCAGCTGCCCTTGTAGCCACAGCAGCATCCTCAGCACACTCGGTAGCTTTGGATCTGCCCCAGTGCCCCACCCAGAGAGGGGTGAAAACAGTGGCGATGGGGGTCAGGAAAAGAAGGGCGGGAAGATGAAAGAGGGGAAGAGAGGAAGGCGGAAAGGCAGGATGGAGAAACGAGTGAAAGTGGGAAAAGGGTGGGAAAGGAAAAGAGGGGAAAAGAAGGAAGGAAGCCACACTACAAGGAATGCAGGCTGTTCAGCAGAAGAGACACTCGGGTCCTCTGTGGTGCGGACATAGCTCAAGAACACTGTTGACCCCCACAGGCAGGCAGAAAGGGGCGAGACGTGGATGAAGGCGCATTGTCAGCACACAAGCACTAGTTACGGGCGCCACCTGCACAGAGAGACATGGAGTGTGTGTGGACCCTGCTGTTCATCAGCCACCACCCTCTGCATGGCTGCAACAGTTGAGCTGTCCAATCCCTCTGCACTCCACTTGATAACTTGCCTGCCCGTAACAACGAGCACTCGAGAGGAAGAGGACTGCCCCATTGTCCCATCCCATCCCATCCCATCCCATCCCATCCCATCCCATCCCATCCCATCCCATCCCATCCCATCCCATCCCATCCCATCCCATCCCATCCCATCCCATCCCATCCCATCCCATCCCATCCCATCCCATCGCATCCCATCTCATCCCATCCCATGTCATCCCATCCCATCTCATCCCATGCCATCCCATCCCCACCCACCACCCCCCTCTCCCCCCACAGCGCACCTTTCTCGTGGCCCTGGCTCGCCAGGATAGCAGCATTGAGCTCAGCGGCCGCCTTGTCGCGCTGACTCACGTCCAGCAGCTCTGTCAGCGTGGCAGGTGCTGACGTGGCAGGGTCCTCAAACGCCAGCAGGGCAACCGTGCGCTCCAGCTCCTCCAGGTAAGCCGCCTGGCGGGATGAGGGAACGAGGGTGGGGAGAGATTCGGCCAAGGATGGGGTGAGATAACAGCGAGGGTAGGGTGAATTTGAGAAACATGGTGAGGAGAGGTGGGGATGGCATGGGTGGACAGCAGGGCAACAGTGCGCTCCACTTCCGGGTAAGCTGCCTGGCGAGCACGGGTGGAGAGAGTGTGGAGGGAGGTTAAGATACGAGGATGATGGGCGAAGGATGGGGGGGAAGGTACAAATAAGCGGAGGTTGGGCTATAGCTCCTACTTTGGCTCCTTCCTCTGCCCCTTTCAGCCCGCACCTTCCCCATCTACTAACACTCTCCCTGAGCGTCCCCACCCCCAACCCCCTCCCCACACCCCCCAACCCTCCCCACCCCCCCCAACCCTCCCCTCCCCCACATCTCACGTTCTCCTTGCTCCTGGGCGGCTGCTCCTCCTAGGCGAGCTCAACATCACTATCCTCGGCGACGTGAAGAAAGGCGCGTTTTGGGACGTCTCAGAGCAAGATCATTGTCCTCGGCTACTTCCTCTGACAGTCCTTCCCCGCCCTCTCCCAAGCCCCAAAACACCTCCCTCCCTCGCTTCCACTCGCGTCCTCCTCGCCCCCGGGGCCCCGGGGCGAACTCAAGCGCCTCACCTACACGGCACCACCTCCCTCTGACTTTACACTCCCTCCCGCCGTCCCCCTCACACCCCCCCCCCCCCCCGTCCGTCCCCCCCCACCCCCACTCACGTTCTCCTCCCCCCGGGGAGCCAATTCCTCCTGAGCGAATTCAAGCGCCTCATCCACCCGGCCGGCCCGGATGAGCTCGATGAGGCGCTGCTGCTGCAGGCGGAAGAACACCCCCGCGCCCGTGTCCAGAATCTGGGGGAACGACGGGGGGGAGGGGGGAGGGGGGGGGAGGGGAGGGGGGGAGTGGCAGAGAGGGATGGTTGGATAGGGAAGACGATCCCTGCACTCGTGTCGAGGAGCTAACAGGGGAAAGTGGCAGTGCCGGGTATTGCAGGCGGATGACTTCGATGAGGAGCTGCTCTGCTGCTGCTGCAGGCGGAAGAACTCCCCTGCCCCTGTCTCCAGGATATGGGCAGTGTGGTGGGGGGAAGAGGAAGAAGGGGGCAGGGGGGAGTGACAGAAGGGAAGAGCGGAATAGTGAAGTGCAACCCCTGAATGGTAATGCTTGGGCAGGAAACTCCAGTGACAGTGGAACTGTGAAGTAGGAAGAAATTCACATTGCAGACGCCGTGAATCAATGACAGAAAGCACCGACAGTCCATCCATAGCAGTAAGCTTGGCAGGCCAGGCCAGGGTTCGCAAGGTGGGTAGGCGGGAGAAGCATTTAATGGTGGTGTTTGCAGCCAGCCAAGCACCAGTCAGCTCCTGGAAGTGGATGCACATGCACGCCAGGCTCCAGCTGCTGACCTCAGGTTGAGGTCGTTGACCCGGTCAACGCCCCTGCGTGCCTCACCTCGGGGTTAAGGTCGTTGACCCGGTCAATGGCGTCTTCCACGTCCCCCGCTGCACCGCCTGCTTCACTGCCATGCGCTCCGCCACCGCCCCCAGGTCCGCGCCCGCTGTGACACGGAATAAACAAACAAACAAGTGGTTATGCAAACTCCGACGAACAGACGGCGGGACAGAGAGAGGGAGAAAGCTATGTTTGAGCAACAACAGCAACATCTGGTGCCCAATCTGCTGCACCGCCTGCTTCACCGCCATCCGCTCTGCCACCGCCCCCAGGTCCGCGCCCGCTGTGAAACAGAGAGGGAGGGCGGATGGAGGCGAGGACAAAAAGGGAAGGGAAAAGGGTGTGATATGTGCACAGCGAAGCTCGGAAAGGTGGACTGTTGAAGGGCACGGTTGGGCTGTGTACAGGCATTGTCACTGCATCAGCACCCCGCGACTCACGGTTCGTCCCGGATTCAATCTCGAACTTGCGCGCCGCGTCCACGTAGCCCTCCGTTACAAGGTAATTCATTACAAGCTTGTTCATGTCCTCCGCGCGCACCGCCGCCGCGTCCATGCGCGCCTCCCACTCAGCCCGCCGCACCACCTTCCGCATCATCGTTCCGCCGCCCCCGCCGCCGGTCCCCCGCCGCTCTACGATGCGCTCGATGATGCGGCGCAGGTGAGAGATTCCGCCGTCCCCGCTAATGGTGACGCGCTACAAAAACCCGGTATTCGCGAATAACCGACTGCTGCTGCTAAATCTCTCAGCGCAAGTGCGACCAGAGGATAACCTACAACTGCGCCTTATCAGGCGGTCGCCCGAATCCTCAGGCACGCATGCTGCAGGCGCTAGGGGGGCTGAGAAGCGGCTGGCTTGTGAGGATGCTGGTAGCACCAAATGGCCGATGCGCGCTCGCCATAGTAGCTGTGCAGAAGCAACGTAATGCTTTTCGACGAGAGGGGGGAGGAGAGGCGCATGGGAGGAAGGGACGAGAGGGGGGACTCAAATAAATTTTATAAATAAATGCACGGCTACATACTTAGCAGGACCAGTAGCACAAACCTCCAATCTTTCAGCTTGATTTGCGGGCTCAATACCCGCCTGGTCCTTTTTCGATCCCTCTCAAATGTACATCCTCTCGCTACCGTTTTGAACCTTGAAACAACCCATTCGGAACACAAAAAATCAGTCAAATGTTTTGATACGATCCGAGGCCGCATACAACCTTCTCAACTATGACCCCGGGTCGGCCCTGGCTCCTCGTTGCAGCTGATTTTGGCAAAATGTGTCTACTAGAATTAAACCTTCTCGAGAATGGGCGAGCGTCCCGACGGATTTCTTATTCGCCATCGGGTGGCTGGCAGTTTGACTTGAAGAAGCAAGCCTCTTCGTTACAATAAGCGAAAGCATTGGCTACTCGCGCAGACATGGAGTAACAGGAGCGCACTGTACGTGACCAAATTGAAATCGTTCTGGGAATGATGATTCTTGGCAAGAACCCGCCTCAGGATTCCCAACCATTGGGAATATCCAGCTTTGGAATCGATTCTCGTCACTTCGCTGCTGTCAGCGTCTGCTCGCTTCGATTCAAGTCAGTCGCCGCAGCCGTCCATTTCTCCCCCTCGTTTCGGAGGAGCGGATCTACACCCAGCATTTCCCAAGGCTCCACAAATGCGTGCGCCTCACAACATAGCCTGCCTCTCATGTGAGATCCAGATTCGAATTCATAAAGACGTGGAGGGCCCCTTGCATTGAATCACGACGGCGGTGACGGTTATAGCGATTAATAGCAGTCAATAACGGTCGCGACGGTTGTAACCGTCAGTAGCGGCTGTCAACGGTCGGATCGGATAAAGCCGTCAATAGTTTTCAATAACGGTCAGGGCGCGGCTGTAGCGGTCCACAGCGGTGAACAGCAATCGACGGTGGTGCGCGCGGCGGCGGCGATGGAGGAGGTGGTGCTGCCGTCGATCCGCGTCGGGCACTCGGGCGGCGGCGCGTTCGAGAGCCTCGCGAGCGACGAGGTGGAGAAGAAAAAGCTCACGCTGGGTGTGTGCGTGATGGAGAAGAAGGTGCGTGATGGAGAAGAAGGTGGGTAGAAGGGGGAGAGAGGGGGCGTGAAAATCTGAACTGACATGCGTGATGAGGAATGAGTAGGCAGACGGATCTTTTTTTACTCAAGGAGCGAGAAGGCGCAACCTTCGGATTTTCCAGCCCTGTTCAGCCGTTATTACACGTTCTATCCCGCCTGCCTCCTCCCGCGCCCTTTGATGGCCCCCTCCCCCTCAGTCATCCCCTTTCCGTCATCCCTTCCTTTCCCGCCGTCCCCTTACGCCATCCCCCCTCCAACATCCCCCTTCCACCGTCCCCCTTCCGCGATCCCCTTTCCGCCATCCCCCTTCCGCGATCCCCCTTCCCCGGTCCCCCTTCCGCCATCCCCCTTCTACCAGTCGCGGTCGTCCCCCAAAGCCCCCCTACTCGACCTGCCACCTCTTGCCCCCGCTTTCCCCCCATGACTCCCATTCTTGACTGCCTGGGCCCGCTAATATGCCTGCCGCTTCCTCGCCCCACAATCCCCCCCCTTCCTTCCGCCACCCCCTTTCCGCCATCCCCCGTGCAGTCGCGATCGTCCCCCATGACGGCCATTCTTGACCGCCTGCGCATGTTCGGCGAGGTGGAGGTGAGACATGGGGGAGGTGAGGCGAGGTGGAGGTGAGACATGGGGGAGGTGAGGCGAGGTGGAGGTGAGACATGGGGGAGGTGAGGCGAGGTGGAGGTGAGATCTGGGGGAGGTTGAGGCATAGGAGGGGGAGATAGGGGTGAGGAAGCTGGAGGAGAGATGTCTCCCTATGGCCTGCCTGAGTTTCATTCTTATCCTCACAGCACGCCACCCTTTCTTCCTTCTCCTCAAGCTCATGCCGCTTCTGCCATGCCTTGCTTGCCGAATCATGTGATTCCCCGTGCCTTACCCAACCATGTTCCCCCGTGCATTGGCGCCAGGTGATCATATTTGAAGATCGCATGATCCTCCACGACCCCATTGAGAAGTGAGCCATGCCTCTTCACCACACTTTCACCACACTGCATGCCTCCTCGCCTCACTGCATGCCTCCTCGCCTCACTGCATGCCTCCTCGCCTCACTGCATGCCTCCTCGCCTCACTGCATGCCTCCTCGCTTCACTCTATCCCTTCTCGCGTCACTATATGTCCCCCCATGTCTCCCCCCATTCCTCCCCCCCATGCCTCCCCCATGTCTCCAACCATGCCTTTCCCCATGCCTCCCCCAATACTTCCCCCCATAATTCCCTCCCCCATTCCTTCCCCCATGCCTCCCCCCATGCCTTCCCCCATGCCTCCCCCCATGCCTTCCCCCATGCCTCCCCCCATGCCTTCCCCCATGCCTCCCCCATGCCTTCAACCATGCGTCCCCCATCTCCCCCCATGCGCCCCACTCCACCCCAGGTGGCCCATATGTGATGCGCTAATCGCCATCTACTCCACGGGCTCCCCCCTCGCTAAGCCCCCCTTCATCTCCCACCATTTCCCCTCATCCCCCAACACCTATAACCCCCCCATCTCCCTTATTCCCCCATGCCCCCAGGTGGCCCATATGTGATGCGCTAATCGCCTTCTACTCCACGGGCTCCCCCCTCGCTAAGCCGCCCTTCATCTCCCACCATTTCCCCTCATCCCCCAACACCTATAACCCCCCCATCTCCCTTATTCCCCCATGCCCCCAGGTGGCCCATATGTGATGCGCTAATCGCCTTCTACTCCACGGGCTTCCCTCTCGCCAAGGCGCAGCAATACGCCGCCCTGCGCAAGTACGTGCCCGCTGCCCGCTGCCCGCTGCCCGCTGCCCGCTGCCCGCTGCCCGCTGCCCGCTGCCCGCTGCCCAGTGCCCACTGCCCACCGCGCACTGCCCAGTGCCCACTGCAGCACGACACACACATGTACTTTCTCCAGAGGGGACGTACTAGCACTGGGCAGTGGGCACCGCGCACTGCCCAGTGCCCACTTCGCACTGCCCACTGCCCAGTGCTAGTACGTGCCCTCTGGAGAAAGTACATGTGTGTGTTGCCATGTGCATCTGTGCGCACGTGGCAGCAGCACGAGCACAGCCCGTCGAAAAAACGATTTTCTTTGATGAGTGTACTGGCAATGGTGATATTGTGCTTTCTTCCCATGTCCTGCCGTGCAATATATTGTGACTCCCACTCGCATTTTTCCCATTGCTCCTTTGTCTCTCTCCCACTCTCCCTCTCTCCCATCTATCCCATCCCTCCCTTCCCTCCCATCTCGCCCCGCCCTCTCGCGCCTCTCCTGCACGGCAGGCCCTATTTGGTGAACGAGTTGGAGCCGCAGCGATAAAACTTCACCTTCAAGACGTTTCAAAACTTCCCTTTTATCGCGCCTCCCCCCCTCCACCTCGCCTGCACGGCAGGCCATATTTGGTGAACGAGTTGGAGCCGCAGTGATAAAACTTCACCTTCAAGACGTTTCAAAACTTCCCTTTTATCGCGCCTCCCCCCCTCCACCTCGCCTGCACGGCAGGCCATATTTGGTGAACGAGTTGGAGCCGCAGTGATAAAACTTCACCTTCAAGACGTTTCAAAACTTCCCTTTTATCGCGCCTCCCCCCCTCCACCTCGCCTGCACGGCAGGCCATATTTGGTGAACGAGTTGGAGCCGCAGTGATAAAACTTCACCTTCAAGACGTTTCAAAACTTCCCTTTTATCGCGCCTCCCCCCCTCCACCTCGCCTGCACGGCAGGCCATATTTGGTGAACGAGTTGGAGCCACAGTGATAAAACTTCACCTTCAAGACGTTTCAAAACTTCCCTTTTATCGCGCCTCCCCCCCTCCACCTCGCCTGCACGGCAGGCCATATTTGGTGAACGAGTTGGAGCCGCAGTGATAAAACTTCACCTTCAAGACGTTTCAAAACTTCCCTTTTATCGCGCCTCCCCCCCTCCACCTCGCCTGCATGGCAGGCCATATTTGGTGAACGAGTTGGAGCCACAGTGGCTGCTGCACGACAGGAGGAAGGTGTACGCGGTGAGTGCGAGTGGGTGCGGTGCGGTGAGTGCGAGTGCACAAGAGTGCGTGCGAGTATGTACGGTGCTGTTTCCGGTCCTCTGCTAGTACCACGGTCTGAGGCAGCAGCCTGCCCACACCCCCCCTCTGTACACATGCCTTCCCCTTCCCCCCTCTCCGCAGAAGCTTGTGGTGTGGACCCTTCCCCCCTCCGGGGCGGGCTCACGATGCCCTGAATCCCTCTCCCCATCCCGCCGTTTGCTCAACCCCCTGCTCTGCATTCTTTGCCCCAACTAACCCCTTGCACCCCCCCTTTACCAGAAGCTAGAGGAGCACGGGCTCATGATGCCCACGCACGCCGTAGTGAACCGCGAGGGGGAGGGGGAAGAAGGTCAGGACTGCTCTCCTGCCACGTTTCGCTCCCTGTGTGCCCACATGCCCCTCTCTCCTCATTCCCCTTCGCTCTTACCAGAAGCTGGAGGAGCATGGTCTCATGATGCCCACGCACGCCATAGTGAACCGCGAAGGGGGCGCAGAGGGGGGTCAGGCCTGCCCCCAAACGCCCACCTTTCACACCCAGTGTGCCCACATGCCCTCTCCCTGCACAACCCCCTTTCTGCCCCTTTCTCCCCATCTACCAGAAGCTGGAGGAGCACGGGCTCATGATGCCCACGTACGCCATGCCATAGTCAACCGCAAGGGGGAGCGGGAAGAAGGTCAGGACTGCTCTCCCTGCCACATTTCGCTCCCTATGTGCCGACATGCCCCTCTTCTCTCATCCCTCCTCCATTCACCAGAAGCTGGAGGAGCACGGGCTCATGATGCCCACATACGCAATAGTGAATCACGAGGGAGAAGGGGAGGACTACTTCCGCTGCCCACACCCCCAACCCCTCCCTTCCCCTTGACTCGCCCTTCCCATCTATCAGAAGCTGGAGGAGCACGGGCTCATGATGCCCACATACGCAATAGTGAACCGCGAGGGGGAGGGGGAGGGCGCGGAGGAGAAGTTTGAGGAGGAGGAGGACTACGTGGTGATCGCCGGCAAGCGCATCAACAAACCATTCGTGGAGAAGCCTGTTGACGGTGGGTGGGTGGGTGCATGCATGGGTGATGGGAGCATGGGCGGTGGTGGGTTCAGGGTGGTGGGTTATGAGACTTTGAGGAGGAGGAGGACTACGTGGTCATCGCGGGCAAGCGCATCAACAAACCATTCGTGGAGAAACCTGTTGACGGTGGGTTTTATTCACTGGCAGTGGGTTCGAGGGATGTGGGCGTGCGAATGCTGCTTTACTAAGGAGGAGGACTACGTGGCCATCGCTGGCAAGCGCATTAACAAGCCCTTTGTTGAGAAACCCGTCGATGGTGGGTGGGTGCATGCATGGGTGGTGGGTTCATGGGTGGTGGGTGCATGCATGGGTGGTGGATTCATGAGCAGTGGGTGCATGAGGGCAGGGACAGGGAGGGTGCGGAGGAGAAGGAGGAGGACTGCGTGGTCATCGTTGGCAAGCGCATCAACAAGCCCTTTGTGGAGAAGCCTGTCGATGGTGGGTGGGTGCATGCATGGGTGGTGGATTCATGGGCAGTGGGTCTATGGGCGGTGTGTGCATGGGCAGTGATGGTGGGTTCTAAGGTCGCTGGGTGCATGGGCCTGTTGTGGGCAGCGGGCCTGTGAATGCTGCCTTTCCCCAGGAATCGTTTTCTTCTCCCTAGAACAGCTGGTTATATATCGAAGTCGTTCTGTACGCGTGAGGTGGCCTGCCCGTCTGTCTTCTCTCCCATCCGCATCCATCTCCTCTCCCACGCCCCCTCTTTTCCTGCTCTCCCATCCCCAATTCCCCACATCTCCTCCCGTCTTTCCATGCCCGTTATGCTTTATCTCACTACCACCAGGCGACGATCACAGTGTGATGATCTACTACCCCAGCTCCGCAGGGGGCGGCATGAAGGAGCTCTTTAGAAAGGTACTGCCCGCTGGGGTGCATTCAATGCAACAGGCGGCAATGCTAGCTGCACTTGTTGCTGAACGGTTTTCTTGTTATTTTGAGAATCAGGCAATACAACGCCTCTACCAGTGCCTCGTTGCACTCAGTTCCCTTCCTCTCGTCTTGCTTAAGAAAGCAGCGCTCCTTTTTATAATCCCTATCTCTCCATTCCTTTGGCCTCACCTCACCTCGCATTACCACCACCTCTCCTCTCGTCTCTCCCATCTCTCACCTCGCCTGAAAAGGTGGGCAATCGGTCGAGTGAGTTCCACCCGGACGTGCGCCATGTGAGGCGCCATGGCTCCTACATCTACGAGGAGTTCCTCCCCACAGGTGCGCTCTTGCTGCCTCTCGCCTCCCTTGGAATGCGGACGTGAGGAATCCATCCATCCGTTTCTCAGCTGCGCCAAGTGAGGTGCCATGGCTCCTACATATATGAGGAGTTCCTCCCCACAGGCAAGCTCTCAGCTCCAGTACTGGATCTACCACGAGGAGCATGCTGCAGACCGATTCCATCCATTTCTTAGCTGCGCCATGTGAGGCGCCACGGCTCCTACATCTACGAGGAGTTCCTTCCCACAGGTGGGGTCACTTTGCTGCCCACAACTTGGATATTTTCTGCCCTCACTTTAGGTTGTGCATTAATTATCGTTACTACTACTGGCGAGTACTATGTAGTACGTAATAAGTACCATAGCATGCAATGGACTGCCTTCTCTGCAATGCATTGCTGAAAACATTGTGGTTTGTATGTTCGTTTGCTGAGTCCTCTGAATTTTCCATGGTGATGGGTGTAATGATGATGTACATGTGCGTGTGCATGGCACCATGATGGCTGGCTGGCATCATTATGATCATGTTATGTGCAGGTGGCACGGATGTGAAGGTGTACACGGTGGGGCCGGACTATGCACATGCAGAGGCACGCAAGTCACCCGTGGTGGACGGTGTTGTCATGCGCAGCGCTGACGGCAAGGAGGTGCGCCCTAGCCTAGAGGCGGGGGTGGTTGGGGTTCTGTATGTATGTAGCACGTCCCACGGATGGATGGCGTGTGTGGTTGCTGTGAGCAATCTCATCTCACGTTTCGATTCACTTGTGCAGAAGGGCAAGGAGGTGAGGCCAGACTTCCTCCCAAGGAGTTCCATTCAGATGGTTACTTTGGATAGACGCACCCAATAGGCTGCAGTCGGCAGATAGTGTTCAGCATTCAGCATGCTTTTTCAGCAATCAGCACTTAGCTATCAGCAGTCAGCATCCAGCAGTCAGATTATAGCGTTTAACAGTCAGACTTGAGCACTCAGCGGTCAGCAGTTAGCGTTTCCTTAAGAGATGTTCCTACTCTGAACTGGCGGAACTGAGGCGCCCCAAGCAAATCACCACACTGGTCTTTTCTGTCCCGCGCATTTCCTATCCAGCACCTCTCCCTGCCTGCTGATTGACCATGTATTATGCTCTCTCATACACATTCACATCTTGCCTGGGCCATACATGCACAACTCTCAGGCCCTCTCATCACTCTCTTCTCACTCTTCATCACCAATAGCCCGCCCCTCTCCCCATGCATCTCTGCTAGATCCGCTACCCGGTGCTGCTCACCCCAACGGAGAAGGAAATGGCACGGGTTATCTGTCTTGCGTTCGGGCAGGCGGTGAGACATGTAGCCTGCATGCAGTACATACTGTTAGTCATCCCACCTCTTGTTCTGTGACAGCATCCTTTACACACACTTTTCCTAAGGAAGACTTGGATTCGAACCTCAACAAGTAAGCGGGTCTCCTCAGAAGTTTTAGCTAAGTACGATTGGGGGTTACTTGTAGAGTGGGAACAAAGTAAATATCTGACTTTGATAAGTCTCTATCAGACATAGGCGTGGGCGTTTCGGCTGTGAGGCCTTCGTCAGCACTCATTATCGGCGCCCCTCTCTGGTCCCACCATGTTCTGTTGCCGCATCACTTCCCTCACTCACCCGCACATACCTCACACACGTTTTCCCTGCCAGGTGTGTGGATTTGACCTGCTGCGCTCGCACGGCCGCTCCTTCCTCATCCGTTCCCTTCCTCATCCCTTCCCTTCCTCATCCCTTCCCACCACATGTCTCATGCACCCTTTCCCTGCCAGGTGTGTGGATTTGACCTGCTGCGATCGCACGGGCGCTCCTTTGTGTGTGACGTCAACGGCTGGAGCTTTGTCAAGAACTCCACCAAGTGAGCTCTTTGCGCTAATGGCGGTATCAGAATCTGATCCAGAGGGTTTAAACAACAGCCACAGTCTCGCTTGATTTGTAGCACAAAAATAAGCAGTCATCGAGGCATTATAATCAGGCCATGTACTTGCATCTTGTCAATCACATCGGTCGCATCAATTTTGGCGTCCTCTCTGTCAAATCAGCCCACCCTTCCGTCCCCTCGCCACCCTGCCTGCATGCAGGTACTACGATGATGCAGCATGTGTGCTGCGAAGCATGCTGCTGCGTGCAGTGGCACCGCACCTCTACTCACCTCTGCCCGTGCGCCTGCCCTGGTCCTCCGGACCCGACGCATCATCAGCAGCAGCTGGAGGAGGGGCGTTGGACGGCACGACCTCGCCGGACTACGAGCGGTCACTCACCAGTGCTGTCAAGTCAGGCTACCCAACCTTCCCCTCGCCCTGTTGCCCGCATGCAGGTACTACGATGATGCAGCGTGTGTGCTGCGAAGCATGCTGCTCCGCGCCGTGGCACCGCACCTCTACTCGCCACTCCCCGTCCGACTGCCCTGGTCCTCCGGCCCCGACGCAACAGCAGCAGCAGCAGCGGGGGTGGCATTGGACGGCACGACCTCGCCGGACTATGAACGGTCACTCACCAATGCGAGCAGCTTCAACAGTGTTCACACATTCGGCACTCGGGAGGAGCTGCGCTGCGTTATTGCTGTCATCCGCCAGTGAGTTCAAAGGGGCTGCTGGGGGGGGAGAAAGGGGAGGGGGGAGGGGTTGATGTGTGATCGCTGTCATAGGACAGTAAGTGGGCCCGACGCAGCAGCAGTAGCAGCAGCAGCAGCAGGAGGAGTGGCATTGGACGGCACGACATCGCCGGACTACGAGCGCACGCTCAGTGCGAGCAGCTTCAACAGCGCTCACACGTTCGGCACTCGGGAGGAGCTGCGCTGCGTCATTGCTGTCATCCGCCAGTGAGTGGGGGCTGCTTGGGTGGTTCTTGCTAGTGAGACTGTTGTATTGATGCTTTGTGAATGGTTGCAGACAGGTTGAGGCTCGGAGGGACTTACCAAAGAACGAGGCATTGATTTGACACATTATCCTCCCCTCGCTCCCTCTTATGTTACCGTTCCCCCATGGGCAGTGGTGACCGCACGCCAAAGCAGAAGGTGAAGCTGGTGGTGAGGCAGGAGCGGCTGCTGAAGCTCATGCTCAAATACAACGGCGGCAAGCCACGCTCCGAGGTAATGCGGTGACCTTTGAGTCACGAGGTGAAGTTTGCTCAAAATGAGGTGGCTTTTGAGTCGATTCACAAGACACAGGACCAGCTGCTGAAGCTCATGCTCAAACACAACGGCGGCAAGCCGCGCTCCGAGGTACTGCGGTGGGGGCAAGCCGTGCAGTGAGGTACTGTGGTGGGGGCAACCGGGCAAGTGTGTGAGGTATTCACATCACAGGGCAGTCAGCCTGGTGAGCCCTGTAGGATGTGTTTAAGAGAGTGGTGGTGGCTTGCATTGCAGGCAGCTCAGCACTGCCCGTGTAGGCTTGAGAGTGAGTGACTCGTGGACTTAATGGGGAAGGTGAGCCCAAGGACATGTGGATGGTCGCATGGGCGCATGCACATTCCATGGTGCCTGGCGGACGCCCGCTTGCTTGCACACCCCTATGCTGCCACCCCCCGTGCTTCTCCTAGGCTTACCTGATTGCCCCTAAGTCTGCACTGCTTCGTAAGAGCCATATGCGCCCGTCTCTCTGCTCTGTCTTCTCCCTCCTCCCTCCTCCCCCCTCGCCCCACGGCCCCTCTGCCTGGCAGGCGAAGCTGAAGAGCGCTGTGCAGCTGCAGGACCTGCTGGGTTTGAGTCGACTCAATAATACTCGTATGCTCCGGCCCCTTTCCTTTCCCACTGGCTGGCCTCCTGCCCCCACCCCAGGCGAAGCTGAAGAGCGCAGTGCAGCTGCAGGACCTGCTGGACGCCTTGCGTGCCCTTGTGCCTCACCAGAGGTGCGTATTGCTTTGGTTGTTGGCTGTTAGGAAGGGTATTGCCTTTAGCTTATTTTTCTGCTTCCTTCTTGTTGCTTGAGTATCAGCCTAGAGGTGCATCAGAGAAAATTGTTCATCGCATATAATTTGCAACCTGCCTGCAGCGTCCGCTGTTGCCCCAACGTCCAGTAACGCCCCACTCTTCTAGCCTCGCATATCGAACTGACTTGATAGCGCTTCTCACGCTGCGCACGGCACATGTTGCCTTGTGCCCTCCGTCTCGTCGCCCGTCCTCCCCCAACCCTGCTGCGGTAGCAGGGACGGCAGCGACAGCGAGACAGAGGACTTTGAGAATGCGGAGAAGCTGAGGCACGTGAAGGCCGTGCTGGAGGAGGTGAGCTTGCAGTCGCAGCCCTGAGCTCTCAAATGTGCAATTCAATCTACCTCATGAGTGTCAAGTCTACACAGGATTGGAGGAGGCGATAGAATTCATGCCTCTTGATTGGAATTTAAAGAAACGCCCTTGCGTCCATGCATGCACGCACCTTGACCTTTCTCTCTTCCTCCCCCTCCTGCTCCTATGCTATTCTCCCCACTTACGCACAGGGAGGACACTTCTCGGGCATATACCGCAAGGCGCAGCTGAAGCCACAGAAGTGGGAGCGAGTGCAGCGGCGAGACAGCAGCGGGGCGGAGGTGGAGGTGGACGAACCCACGGAGGCCCTCATGGTGCTCAAGTACGGCGGCGTGCTCACCCACGCCGGGAGAGCGCAGGTGAAGTGCTCGCATGGCATGTGAACGGCAAGTGGGGGGGGGGCAGATGGCATGTGATGTGAATCTGAGTGGTGGCGAGGTGGAGGTGGACGAAGCCACGGAGGCCCTCATGGTGCTCAAATACGGTGGCGTGCTCACGCACGCTGGCAGGGCACAGGTGGGGCGGCAGACAGCAGGTGGGGGGAAAGGCAGGAGGTGTAGAGTCTGTGTCGCTGTTGAGAGCTCGGGACAGCAGTGGGGGCGAGGTGGAGGTGGATGAGCCCACGGAGGCCCTCATGGTGCTCAAATACGGTGGCGTGCTCACCCACGCTGGCAGGGCACAGGTGGGACGCTCACGCATACTGGCAGGCAGGCAGCAGGTGGGACGGCAGAGTGGGGGTGAGGTGCTCACTCACACTCGTTAGCAGCAAGCTGCAAGTCTGGTGCAGTGCGCTGTAGCCCACACACAGGTGGGGGCATGGTAAGGGTGGAAATCGAGTACCCGATTCGAATACGAGTACCTTAGACGAGTATTTAGCGAGTAATCACAAGAAAAGTATTTGATCGAATACCACCATTTCATTCGAGTCGAATACGAGTCGAATGCTGTCGAATACGAGCGAATACGAGTCGATTATCGAGTACTACCCTCACCAATATGAACCTATATTTTTTTAGCTTTGGACTGGTCAAGAAGCTCCATGCAAACTCTAGCATACATGATCACCTCTAGCATGAAACACACGTTACTTTGACAGCCATCTGTGAACGTCATCTTGCACTTGAAATGGCTGAGAGTTCCGTAGCGAGTGCGCTACAGCGTATGAACTGGCCGTGCATGTTTGTAAGGTCGCATCATCATAAGTGCACAAGCACTTGTAGCCACTTGGGTTCCTACACAACAAAGCGCCAAAGTCTGTTATAAGTGGACGGTTGACTTTCTGAGAATGGAATTGGTAGGCACATTGACTATATTCCTCGTTTTAGGTGTATCGGGGGGCAGGAATGCTTGATTCGAGTACTCGTCGAATACCCGAGTACTTGACCCCCGAATACTCGCCCTCTCGAGTACTCACGAGTCGAGTACTCGCCCCTTTTCTCAGGCATTCGCTTTGACAAGTATTTGCCAAATACCTCGAATCTCGAGTAGTGACCGAGTACCCCCCAACTCGTTTTCCACCCTTAGGGCATGGAGGTCACAGGGGCACACAGCTGAGGCGCATGTACCATTACCCCCTCCCTCCCTTCAACCACTTTCATCTTTCTCACAGTAACTAACAAGCACCTAAATCTGATCCTTGTGCCCTCTTCTCCCTCCCTCGTTAACACATCCTCCCCCAATCACCCCCCCCTGTATATCACTTATCAGGCGGAGCATCTGGGACGAGCATTTCGAGAAGCCATGTATCCTGGTAGGGGCATGCTGCATGCATGTTAGTACCTGCTATGGGCATGAGCTATACCTGCTGTATGTGGGCGTGCGTTTTCCTCAGTCGTGTTGTGCATGCATGCAAGAGCAAACGCACGTCCGACTGTTTGACTACTTGTCTCGCACCTAGTGTCTTTTGAGTCGACTCAAAAGTCACCTCGTTAAAAGCAAACGCACGTCCGACTGTATGACTACTTGTCTCGCACCTAGTGTAGTGCACACACACGTGGGTATGAAATGAAAGTGTATGTTTATGCGCATTTGGTGTGTGTTGAACCCGTTTAAGAAGCACAAGGCGTGCACTTTCATAACACATGCCATGCATGCACCCCAAGATCCTCTGACTGCCGCGAGTATACCCCACCACAAGTTTAACCCCTCAGTTCCCACTCCTATAATTTTTCCACCGTCGCCCTCTTTGTTTTCCTCCCTTCTTCCCCCTCTCTCTCCCCAACGTTGCTCTTTTCTCTCTCCTCACAAGTCTCCTCTCCCGTCTCCCTCCTCACCTCAATTCCCGTTGCTCTCCGACACCCCTGTCCTCCCTCCCCCATCGTGGCAGACGAGATGGGTTCCAATGGCACGGGCCTGCTGCGCCTGCACAGCACGTACCGCCACGACCTCAAGATCTACAGCTCTGACGAAGGCCGCGTGCAGGTGGGTTCTGGGCAGTGGGGGCAGGGCAGGTGAGCACGGGTGGGCGATAACTGCAGGAGGGCTGTTGGGTCGACTCAAGGCATGCCTGCACAGCACGTACCGCCACGACCTCAAGATCTACAGCTCCGATGAGGGCCGCGTGCAGGTGGGTGCTGGGGGCAGGCCAGGTGGGCCGTGGGGGCAGGTTGTTGGGCGCTCAGTGCAGGAGGGGTTTCGGGTCGACTCTAGGCACGGCTGCACAGCACGTACCGCCACGACCTCAAGATCTACAGCTCCGATGAGGGGCGTGTGCATGTGGGCAGTGGGGGCAGGCCAGGCCAGGTGTCCGTTCCAGGACAGGTGGGGTTCTGACTCGACTCAAGGCATGGTTCTGACCTCAAGATCTACAGCTCCCATTAGGACCGCTTGCTGTGCAGGTGGGCACTGGGGGCAGGGCAGGTGGGCAGTGGGGGCAGGTGGGTGGGCGCTCAGTGGGGTTGTGATTCGACTGGAGGCATGGTTCTGACCTCAAGTTCTCAACATCTACAGCTCTGACGAGGGCCAAGTGCTATGCAGGAGGTGGGCACTGGGGGCAGGGCAGCAGGTAGGTGGGTGCTCACTGCAGGAGGGGTTCTGGGTCGACTCGACTTAAAGCACGTACCGCCATGACGTAAAGATCTACAGCTCCCCAATGAGGGCCGTGTGCAGGTGGTCGCTCAGTCTTGGCGTGGTGTGGTGTGGTGTGGTGTGGTGTGGTTCCTCGATAGTGGGGGTTTGTGACCCAGGCAACCGGGTGGGGAGGTGGCATTGCCAGCCTCTGTGATGGAAGGAAACAGAGGGCTTGTTCAATTAAGCAGCTAGTAAAACTGTTCGTGCTGCCTCTCACTCGTGTCTTGCCTCTCATTTGTGCATGCCTCCTGCCGTGCCTCTGTGCGCAGATGTCAGCAGCGGCGTTCACCAAGGGTCTGCTGGACCTGGAGGGGCAGCTACTAGAACTGTTGGTGCCACCTCTCTCGCGTTTTCCGCCTCATGCGTTCCTTTCTGTCTCCCTGCCTCCCTGCCTCCCTGCCTCCCTGCCTCCCTGCCTCCCTGCCTCCCTGCCTCCGTGCCTCCGTGTGCAGATGTCAGCAGCGGCGTTCACCAAGGGTCTGCTGGACTTGGAGGGGCAGCTCACGCCTATCCTGGTCAGCATCACTACCTCTTCCTGCCTTTCCGTGCACGCCTGCACTTTCATGTTCTCCATTCGCACTCTCTTTTTTTTTTATGACCGTTTACTCATCACACCACACCACCTTTTCCTATCTAGTTTTCTTGCCGTGCTTGATCTTCCGCATGGCTGGTTTGGTTCGCATTGACTTGGTAGTCTACATTCTCATTCGCAACTTGTCTCGCCTGCACTGGCTGGCTGCACTGCAACTTGTCTTTGCATGAATGCGCATGCGTTTGTACACACATGTATGTGTGCATCCACGCATTCACGTGTGTGTGTGCACATGCATTTGTGCCCGTATCATCATGTGTGCCCGTGTCACCATGCAGGTTAGTCTAGTGAGCAAGGACTCACCCATGCTTGACGGGCTCGACTCCGCCTCGATTGAAATGGAGCATGCCAAGGTGAGCAGCACTCCTCCTCTCCCTCGTCCCTGTGCATTGAGGTGATTTTGGAGGTGCCTCAGAAGTCACCCCATGCTTGACGGGCTCGACTCCGCCTCCATCGAAATGGAGCATGCCAAGGTGAGCGAGCATTCATTGAGACGGTACACTGCCACACTCGATTCTTGTTTGAGAATTCTTAACGGTGCACTACCTTAATGCTACTCTCACTAACAACAGCACCAAAGCTCGGTCAGTCCAGTGTCATCCACTCCACCCATCCCCTCAACCTCTCACACTTCGTCAGTGTTTTCTTCTCACACTCCTTTCCACACTCCTCTCCCTCTCACCACAGCGCAAGTGAATGACCACCAACCACCGTAACCTCCTCTCTCTTTTATCTTTCTTCACTTCCCACCGACTCCCTTCCACACTCTATTCCCTTCTCCCCCCCCCCCAACAGCGCAAGCTGGGCGAGATGATGACCACCAACGACCCGCCCGTGCTCTCACCCACCCACGGCCAACCCCTCATGGCGCAAAGCCCGCGCCGGCCCTTGCAGTCGCGCTTGCACACCTTTACCCCCCTGCCTGCTCCTTCTCTCCTCCTCCCCCTCCACAGCGCAAGCTGGGCGAGATGATGACAACCAACGACCCACCCGTGCTCTCGCCCACGCACGGCCAGCCCAACGTGGCACACAGCCCGCGCCGGCCCTCTCAGTCGCGGCCCCCCCCCCTCTTCCCCTCCCGCCCCAACAGCGCAAGCTGGGCGAGATGATGACGACCAACGACCCACCAGTGCTCTCGCCCACCCACGGCCAGCCCAACGTGGCACACAGCCCGCGCCGGCCGTCGCAGTCGCGCTCGCACTCGCGCAGCAGCAGTACCAGTAGCAGCCACGGGGGGTTCTCAGGGCACACTGCGGGTCCGTGGATGACTCATGCGCCCTGGCTGCCTGACCGGCCCCTTAGCAAGCTGCACAAGCTGGTGTGTGTGTGTGGGTTGGGGGGAGGAGAGGAGGGGGAAGGGGTGGGTGGGGGTGGTGGGGGGGTGTGCGCTCGCACGAGGATGGCTGCCTGACCGCCCCCTCAGCAAGCTGCACAAACTGGTGTGTGGGTTGTGGGGGAGTGAGGGGGGATGGTTTGCGTGTGTGTGTCCTTTGAGTCGACTCAACAATCAGCAGCAGCAGCCACAGGGGGTCGTCAGCACACACGGCTTGGCCGTGGATGACTGATGCGCCCTGGCTGCCTGACCGCCCCCTCAGCAAGCTGCACAAACTGGTCATTCGCGAGCGCCGATGACCGATGATGCTCGTAACCCTCCCACGCCCTTGCTGGCTTGGTAATAGGCCCAGAAAAGCGCAGCCACGTGACTCGGCAAAAGAAATAACGGTGCGTGTGTGGGGGAAGAGGAAGGGGGTTGTTTGGGGGGGCCGGGGGGGGGGTGGGAGAGGGCATGTGTGTGTGCATGCGTGCGCGCACGAGCAAGCCAGCGTGTATGAATGCGGCTGTCTGCTCATGTGCTGTGCATCAGGTGAGGCTGGTTAGAGCTCTAGGCCCAAATTGATCAACTTTAGTAAGGTTGACCGCTGGTTGTGGGGAGGTGCTCACGGAAGTTCGCGGGGGTGTTGTGAGCGAAGAATGTTACAATATCACGCAACCTCTCTCTACAATTTCAAAAAGGGGTCTTCGTGTTTGGTTGCCGAAGTCCCAAGTTGCAAGGGCGTGGGTTCTCAAGTTTCCGAAACCCACACCATCGGGATTATTGAATATGCCCCGCATGGTTTGCAATTTTGGCCTCGATCTTTAAGGCGCACGCCAAGCAGAAGTGCCGAGAGGGCAACGTGGGTGGCGTTTGAGATGTCTCAAATAACGTTTTTGCACCCCCTTCCCCCCGTACCCTTCCTGCCCCCAGGTGGAGCTGATAAAGGCGCTGGCAGCGCATGCCAAGGAGAAGTGCCGACTTTTTAGGCGCCTCTAAAGCCAAAACCCCTTTTTCCCTCTTCTCCCTCCCACACAACCCCGCAGGTGGAGCTGATAAAGGCGCTGGCAGCGCATGCCAAGGAGAAGTGCCGACTTTTTAGGCGCCTCTAAAGCCAAAACCCCTTTTTCCCTCTTCTCCCTCCCACACAACCCCGCAGGTGGAGCTGATAAAGGCGCTGGCAGCGCATGCCAAGGAGAAGTGCCGACTTTTTAGGCGCCTCTAAAGCCAAAACCCCTTTTTCCCTCTTCTCCCTCCCACACAACCCCGCAGGTGGAGCTGATAAAGGCGCTGGCAGCGCATGCCAAGGAGAAGTGCCGACTTTTTAGGCGCCTCTAAAGCCAAAACCCCTTTTTCCCTCTTCTCCCTCCCACACAACCCCGCAGGTGGAGCTGATAAAGGCGCTGGCAGCACACGCTATGGAGAAGTGCCGCGAGGACGACGTGGACGGCGCACTGGAGGCCAAGGTGGGGGAAGCTGTCGAGTCAACTCAAAATACCCCCTCCTCTTTCCCCCCAGGTGGAGCTGATAAAGGCGCTGGCAGCACACGCTATGGAGAAGTGCCGCGAGGACGACGTGGACGGCGCACTGGAGGCCAAGGTGGGGGAAGCTGTCGAGTCAACTCAAAATACCCCCTCCTCTTTCCCCCCATGTGGAGCTGATAAAGGCGCTGGCAGCACACGCTATGGAGAAGTGCCGCGAGGACGACGTGGACGGCGCACTGGAGGCCAAGGTGGGGGAAGCTGTCGAGTCAACTCAAAATACCCCCTCCTCTTTCCCCCCAGGTGGAGCTGATAAAGGCGCTGGCAGCACACGCTATGGAGAAGTGCCGCGAGGACGACGTGGACGGCGCACTGGAGGCCAAGGTGGGGGAAGCTGTCGAGTCAACTCAAAATACCCCCTCCTCTTTCCCCCCAGGTGGAGCTGATAAAGGCGCTGGCAGCACACGCTAAGGAGAAGTGCCGCGAGGATGACGTGGACGGCGCTCTAGAGGCCAAGGTGGAGGAAGCTGTCAAGAAGCTTCGCATCGTGCCCGTGCCGGCACAGCACAAGGCGGAGGTGGGGGAGCAGCAGCAGCAGCAGGGTGTGGGGGAGCAGCAGGGGGGGGCGCAGCAGCAGGGGGGAGGGAAGCATAAGGCTGTGCCATATGATGGGACGGTGCTGGGGAAGGCACGGTTTGATGAGAGCCGCATAAAGGCGGGGTTGCCGTGCGGTACGGAGGAGTTTCTGCTCATCTTTGCGCGGTGGAAGAAGCTCGAGCGCGATATTTACAACCCGCGAAAGGAGTGAGTGTGGTGATGGAGGGGGAGCGTGTGTGTGGGGGGGGGGGGGGGGGAGTGTGAGTTGGGTGGAATGAGTGTGGGTGGGTTGGAGCGAATGGCATGTTTTGAACAGACCTCGATGACAGCTCGGACAAAAAGAGTGCGGTTGTTGAAAGGGGCCACTATAGCGATGGGGACAGCTCTCTTCTCTGTCGTGCCATGTTCTGCGCTTTGCTTTGCTGTCTCACCAGCGCACTATCCCCTCCCCATGCTGTGCCCTTCCCTCTGCCCCCTCCGTCCTGCTGTGCCCTCCAGTCGCTTCAACATCAGCAAGATTCCCGATGTCTACGACTCTGCCAAGTGCGTTGCTTCGTTCCTTGCCCACACACACTCAGACTCACGCGCACTCACATGCACGCATACACACACACATGCCCCAGTTGCTTCAACATCAGCAAGGTCCCTGATGTCTACGACTCTGCCAAGTATGCGGCTTCGTGCCTTGTCCACTCATGCTCACACTTATACACACACACATGCACACACACACACACACACACACACACAAACACACACACACACACACACGCACACACACGCACACACTTACACACTCAAACATACACGCACACAGTCGCTTCAACATCAGCAAGATCCCTGATGTCTACGACTCTGCCAAGTATGCGGCTTCGTGCCTTGTCCACTCATGCTCACACTTATACACTCACACAGGCACACACACACACACACACACGCACACACACACACACACACACACGCACACGCACACACACACACACACACACACGCACACAGTCGTTCAACATCAGCAAGATCCCTGACGTCTACGACTCTGCCAAGTACTTGGCTTCGTGCCTTGCCCACTCACGCTCAGACTCACTCGCACTCACATGCACACATACACACACACACACATGCTCCAGTCGCTTCAACATCAGCAAGATCCCTGACATGATGTCTACGACTCTGCCAAGTGCGTGGCTTCGTGCCTTGCCCACTCACATGCACGCATACATACTCCAGTCGCTTCAACATCAGCAAGATCCCTGACATGATGTCTACGACTCTGCCAAGTGCGTGGCTTCGTGCCTTGCCCACTCACATGCACGCATACATGCTCCAGTCGCTTCAACATCAGCAAGATCCCTGACATGATGTCTACGACTCTGCCAAGTGCGTTGCACAATGCACCGTGCCTTGTCCACACACGCTCACGAACACACGTTGCACTCACAAACGCACAATAACACACACACACACTCATGACTGTGCTAAGTGAGTGGCCGTGTGTCTTGTCTTGTCTATGCACGCGTGGGCACACACGCACGCACATGCAAACACACGTGCGCGCGCAGATGCACGCACACAACCACATGCCCCTCCGCATGCATGCACGTCTCTGCAGGCACACACTCTCCCCGCACATGCAAAGTATCATCTGCATACCTGCTCTGCTCCTCCCACGCCCCTCACATGGACCCACACCCTCGTTCCCATACCCTCACATGCCCCACATGCCCCACGTGCCCCTCCCCCAGGTACGACCTGGTGCACAACCGCCACCTGGGCCTCAGGGGGCTGGACGAGCTCTACCTGCTCGCCAAGGCACGTTGCTTGCTTGCTCCTTGCATTTGCTGCTCTTACATGTTGCATGCTTCCTGTTGCATCTTGCATATTGTGGTGTGCTTCATTTCAAGTCGACTCAAAACCCACCTGGGCCTCAGGGGTTGGACGAGTGCTACCTGCTCGCCAAGGCACGTTGCTTGCGAGTGATTTTTGAGAATTCTCAAAAAGGCACGTTGGTTGCTTGCTCCTTTCATGTTCAATGTTGCCCGTCGCTCGTCCATGTTGTATGTTTCCGGTAGCATCTTGCATATTGTATGTTGCATGCTGCTGCTGCATGCTGCATGTTCCACGTCTTGGCCCACAGCGTATCATGCCCATGCCATGAGTCGCCATCTTCTTGTCATCCCCATCATGCCAATCGCGCCATGCCCATATATACCTGTCCTCTCCTCATGCTGCCAACTTGCTGCCAACTTGCGTCTCTGTTTGCGTCCACCAGGAGATGGCAGACGGGGTCATTCCAAACGAGTATGGCATCACGCCGTACAGCAAGCTCAAGATCGGCGCCAAGGTCAGTCGGTCCTCTCTTTTGAGGCGCCAAGGTCAGTCGATCCTCTCTTTTGAGGCGCCAAGGTCAGTCGGTCCTCACTTTTGAGGCGCCAAGGTCAGTCGGTCCTCTCTTTCGAGGCGCCAAGGTCAGTCGGTCCTCTCTTTTGAGGCGCCAAGGTCAGTCGGTCCTCTCTTTTGAGGCGCCAAGGTCAGTCGGTCCTCACTTTTGAGGCGCCAAGGTCAGTCGGTCCTCTCTTTCGAGGCGCCAAGGTCAGTCGGTCCTCACTTTTGAGGCGCCAAGGTCAGTCGATCCTCTCTTTTGAGGCGCCAAGGTCAGTCGGTCCTCACTTTTGAGGCGCCAAGGTCAGTCGGTCCTCTCTTTTGGGGCGCCAAGGTCAGTCGGTCCTCTCTTTTGAGGCGCCAAGGTCAGTCGGTCCTCTCTTTTGAGGCGCCAAGGTCAGTCGGTCCTCTCTTTTGAGGCGCCAAGGTCAGTCGGTCCTCTCTTTCAAGGCGCCAAGGTCAGTTGGTCCTCACTTTTGAGGCGCCAAGGTCAGTCGGTCCTCTCTTTTGAGGCGCCAAGGTCAGTCGGTCCTCACTTTTGAGGCGCCAAGGTCAGTCGGTCCTCTCTTTTGAGGCGCCAAGGTCAGTCGGTCCTCTCTTTTGAGGCGCCAAGGTCAGTCGGTCCTCTCTTTTGAGGCGCCAAGGTCAGTCGATCCTCTCTTTTGAGGCGCCAAGGTCAGTCGGTCCTCACTTTTGAGGCGCCAAGGTCAGTCGGTCCTCTCTTTTGAGGCGCCAAGGTCAGTCGGTCCTCTCTTTTGAGGCGCCAAGGTCAGTCGGTCCTCACTTTTGAGGCGCCAAGGTCAGTCGGTCCTCACTTTTGAGGCGCCAAGGTCAGTCGGTCCTCTCTTTTGAGGCGCCAAGGTCAGTCGGTCCTCACTTTTGAGGCGCCAAGGTCAGTCGGTCCTCACTTTTGAGGCGCCAAGGTCAGTCGGTCCTCTCTTTTGAGGCGCCAAGGTCAGTCGGTCCTCTCTTTTGAGGCGCCAAGGTCAGTCGATCCTCTCTTTTGAGGCGCCAAGGTCAGTCGGTCCTCACTTTTGAGGCGCCAAGGTCAGTCGGTCCTCTCTTTTGAGGCGCCAAGGTCAGTCGGTCCTCACTTTTGAGGCGCCAAGGTCAGTTCCTCCCGCTCCTTAAACTCCAGTGCTTAGTGCCCGCCCATGTTCTTTTGCCAGCCCGTCCGAGACAGCGTAATTGTGTGGTATGGTGGAGCAGGCTGTGTCTGTCCCTTCAACTCCCCGCTACCTCCACTCCCTACCTCCTTTCTTTCCGCCCTTGGCCTCTTCTCCCCACAAACGTCCTGGTGGCTGCTGCACGAGATGCCAACTGACCTGCGCTATAAACTCTTCTGATCCTAACCTTTTCTCGCCTCCCCATTTCCCCAGGTGGCACGTGGGCTGCTGGGCAAGATGCTGATCGATCTGCACAACACACAAGGCGAGCCAGTGCGTTTCTCCCTCAAACTTCCTTACCACACCCCCTTCTCTCTTCCCCTCTCCCCCCCTCAGGTGGCACGGCGGCTGCTGGGCAAGATGCTGATCGATCTGCACAACACACAGACACAGCATGTGCCTGTGCCCATCAAATCCCCCTCCCTTCCCTCATCCCTCCTTCCCCGTTGTTCCCCCTTTCAGGTAGCACGGCGGCTGCTGGGCAAGATGCTGATCGATCTGCACAACACACAGACACAGAAAGTGCGTGTGTCCTCAATCTCCCTACATCACCTCCTCTGCCTGTGTCTCGCCGCCCCATTCCCACCCCCCTCCCCAGGTGGCTCGTCGCCTGCTGGGCAAGATGCTGATAGATCTGCACAACACGCGGGACGAGGCAGTGGCGGTGGGGCAGGCCATGCAGCAGCACCGCCAGAGCCCCCTCTCAGCCTTCGCCTTTTTCATCCCCCCGTCCCCCCCCCCCGGGCAGGTTGCTCGTCGCCTGCTGGGCAAGATGCTGATCGACCTGCACAACACGCGGGACGTGGCGGTGGCGATGCCCCCCAACCCTGCCTACGTTTCCTCCTTCCCTCTCTCCCCTGCCCTCTTCTCTCCCCAGGTGGCACGGCGGCTGCTGGGAAAGATGCTGATTGATCTGCACAACACGCGGGACGAGGCGGTGGCGGTGGGGCAGGCCATGCAGCAGCACCGGCAGAGCCTGAGAGAGCAGCGCGCAGCAGCGGTGGCGGCAGCGGTGTTCAACCAGGAGCAGCAGCGGCAGCACCGCCGGTCATCTGGAGAGGCCAAGCGGCGGTCGGATGGGCACCCGGAAGGGGATAACGACGACAGCAACGCACAGTACCGACTAGATCCCAAGTGAGTGCGGTGAGCGGCAAGTGAGTGGTGTTAAGGTGAGTGGCAATTGAGACAGGAACGCACAGCAGCACCGGCAGAGCCGGAGGGAGCAACGCGCAGCAGCGGTGCCAGTAGCAGTGGCGGCAGCGGTGTTCAACCAGGAGCAGCAGCGGCAGAACTGCCGGTCGTCCGGTGAGGCCAAGCGGCGGTCTGATGGGCATCCTGAAGGGGATAACGATGACAGCAACGCGCAGTACCGACTAGATCCCAAGTGAGTGTGGTGAACGGCAAGTGAGTGGTGTTAAGGTGAGTGGCAATTGAGACAGCAACGCACAGCAGCACTGGCAGAGTCTGAGGGAGCAGCGCGCGGCAGCGGTGGCGGCAGCGGTGTTCAACCAGGAGCAGCAGCGGCAGCACCGCTGATGAGGCCAAGCGGCGAGGCCAAGCGGCGCTCTGATGGGCACCCGGAGGGCGACAATGACGACAGCAACGAGCAGTACCGACTAGATCCCAAGTGAGTGAGGTGAAGATGGAAGGTTGAGCTACTTGGCATTCTATAAATTACGAAATCGTTAAGAAGCATAAGCAAGTAGGAGGAGGAAACTCTGGATGGGAGACTCCGCATGTGACTAACCACTGCCCTTGCTGCTGTGTGTCCCTTGCCCCATGGATTCCTGGCTGTAGGTATGCCAACGTGCGGACGCCGCAACGCCACGTGCGCACTCGCCTCTACTTCACATCTGTAAGCCTTCTGAGATTTCTCCAAAGCACCTTTTCACGCCCCACACCTTGTGCATGCCTGCCAAGTGGCGCCCTCGTGATGCTCCGCACATTCAGCACCTCGCCCATCCTCACTTCTCTCCTCCTTCAACTTGTCATCTCCGCCCTGTATCTCCCCTGACTCACTCCACAACAACTTTCGTGCACTACCCATCCCCCTCTTGTACCATCTACTCTCCCACCCACCCATCCGCCCATCCACCAATAAACCCTTCCGCTCCTTCCCCCCCTCAACGCACAGGAGTCACACCTGCAGCACAGTGTGCTGAACGTGCGGCGCTCCTGCCAGCAGGGCCTTTGAGACATGACAAGAATCTCTACCCACCGATTCCAATACGCCTCTCCTTCTCCCACCCACCCACCCACCCACCACCCGCAACAGAATCACACCTACACAGTGTGATGAACGGACTGCGTTTCTGCCAGCTGGAGTTTGAGAGGTCTCACCCTTTCGTCCATCCATAAACCACGGTTCCCACCCTCCACCCCCCCCCACAGGATTCCCATCCACACAGTGTGATGAACGTGCTGCACTCCTGCCAGCAGGGCCTCCGAGACATAACAAGAAACTCTACCCACCGACTCCAATCCTCCTTTCCTTCTCGCACCCACCCACACACCCCTTGCTCACAGGAGTCGCACCTACACAGTGTGATGAACGTGCTGCGCTTCTGCCAGCTGGACGACTCCTTGCAGGGCGAGGCGCCGCTGCTGAGTCCCGATGCCATGACGCGCCTCTATGAGACGCGCGAGCTTGACTACCTCACGCACGTCGTGCTGCGCATGTATGAGAACGTCGAGGTATGCTGTCTTCTGCACGCCCTATCCCCACTCTTCGATTTATTCCCAGTCACTCTTGCAATGAGCCCATACGAGGCCTCCCTGCTGAGTCCCGATGCCATGATGCGCCTATATGAGACGCGCCAAGCTCGACTACCTCCCGCATGTCGTGCTGCGCATGTATGAGAACGTCGAGGTACGCTCCTTGTGCGCTTCTCAACCCTTCCGTTTCCTCCCAGTCACTGTTGCTTTGTTGCCCATACGAGTCCCGACACCATGACGCGCCTCTTTGACGCGCGAACTTGCCTACCTCACGCATGTCATGCTGCGCATGTATGAGAACGTCGAGGTGAGCAACTAGCAAGCCCGTGTCCCGTGAGGTCGTTGAGGTACGCTCCCTGCACGCCCTTTTACCACCCGTGCGTTCTGCCCATGTGCCCCGCTCCCCCTTATCTTTCTCATCTGTCCTCTCGCTCCACCCCTCGTCATATCCAACCCCCCATTTTCTCCATACCACCCACCATGGCCCATCAGGTGGATCTGAACGACCCACGGCGGTTCCGAGTGGAGATCATGTTCAGCCCAGGCTCGGCTGTGAGCCCTCTCGAGGTGAGTCATTTACGGGTAGGAAAATTTTCTTCTTCTTCATAAATTTTATGTTATTGTTTAACGAACTTGCTGCTGCGTGGAACCAATGCACAGCACCACCCCTCTCACTCGTCTCCTCCACTGCACCCACTCCTCCACTTCATCGCCTCGTTCATCCATGCCTTGTCGTGCTGTGCTGTGAGCACGTTGGTTTGAACCTGCTGAGTGCAGCCAGGAGAATGGGAGCGTATGGATGAGTTTATCACTCCTTTTGCGACCACCATGCCACCTTGATCGTCTGAACCCCAAAGCTCAACCCAAATCTACCGTTACCCCTATGAGGGGCAAGATGCTGCCAATGCCACACACTTTGGCTGGGCATGCAACACAGTTCATCCCATCCCTCTTACTCCTCTCATCCATCCTCCTCCACTGCAGCAGGTGTAACCATCAAAGAATGGCGGCATGTTGCAGCCCAGTTCACCCAACCCCCTCTCCCTCCTCTCCTCCTACATTCCCTCCGATTGCAGGTGGAGCCATCAAAGGAGGACCACACTCTGCCAGTCCTCCCCCCCTTCACAGTACAGAACGACACACCCGACACGCTCACCATGCGCCGCATGGACCGCATGCTGGACTGTGGTGCATGTGAGAAGGACACGCTCACCTTCTCCTCTCCTCCATCCATCATCCCCCATAGCAGGTGCAGCCATACCAGAAGGACCAGACGCTGCACTACACTTCACCCAATTCCTTTTGTTCCTCCCCATCCTCTCCGCCCAACTCCAGGTGGAGCCATCAAAGAAGGACCACACATTGCCAGTCCTCCCCCCTTCACAGTCCAGAACGACGCACCCGACACGCTCACCATGCGCCGCATGGACCGCATGCTGCATCCCTTCGCCATGCTCCCCTCCCCTCATCCATCCATCGCTTCCCATGGCAGGTGGAGCTATCAGAAAAGCACCGCACGCTGCGGAACACTTCACCCAACCCCTCTCGCTCCTCTCCTCCATCCTCTCCCCCCTGCCAGGTAGAACCATCAAAGAAGGACCACACGCTACCAGTCCTCCCCCCCTTCACAGTGCAGAACGATGCACCTGACACGCTCACAATGCGCCGCATGGACCGCATGCTGCATCCCTTCGCCATGCCGCCCGAGGACTTCCCGCCACCCACGGCAGGTGGAGTTATCACAGAAAGGCAGCAATTTACAGCACACTTTACCCAAACTCTCTCGGTCTTTACCTCCATCCTCTCCCCCCAACTACAGGTGGAGCCATCAAAGAAGGACCACACATTGCCGGTCCTCCCCCCTTTTACCGTCCAGAACGACGCACCCGACACGCTCACCATGCGCCGTATGGACCGCATGCTGCATCCCTTCGCCATGCCGCCCGAGGACTTCCCGCCGCCCGTGCAGCCACAGGGCTTCTCCGGCCTCTTCCTCAAGGGCACCGTCTTTGAGCGCATCGTCAGCTTCTGGCCCTTCCGTAACGCTGCGGGCGCCAGCAGCAAGAGCAACGCTGCGGGTGGCAGCAGCAAGAGCAAGACCAGTGGCAGCAGCAGCACCAGCAGCCTTAGTGCTGTCGCTGCTGCTGCTGCTGCTGCTGCTGCTGGTGGTGCTGCTGCTAGTGGGAGCGGCACGTCTCTCTCTACCCTCCCACAACCCATCTCCAACAGCAACAGCGGCAGCAGCAGCAGCATAACGATTCCATCAACCGCCACCAACACCGCCACTAACACCACCACCACCAACACCAACACCAGCGGCAGCAGCAGCAGCCTAAGCAAGGCACTCCAAGGCCGGGCCTCCCCTCTCCGAACCTCCTCAGGCTCGGGCCCCTTAGCACCGTGTGCCGACCTGCCAGGCACGGGCAGGAGCCCTGGGGGCAGCCCTCTTCGGCTGTTTGGGCGCAAGGCGTCAGATGAGGGGTCGGGGAGCAGTGGTGGGGGGCTGTGGCGACGTGGGTCGGGGGGGTTGAGTGCGTGGGTGGGCGGGGAGGAGAGTAAGGGCAGCACAGGTGGAAAGGAGGGGTAGGGGGCTGCAGAGTAGGGTGCAGGGGAGGGAGCAATGCAGTGGAGGCTGGTCCTATGACTTGTGCATGGGTGGGCGGGTAAGAGGGTGCAGTGGAGGGCGCAGTGGAGGGCGCAGTGGAGAGTGCATTTGGTAGTGCAGAGGAGGGTGGGTGTAGACTTGGGCTGTTTGAGCTAATTTGAGCTAATTTGAGCTGTTGCAGTCGTGGGAATAAAATTTTAACGTGTGGTTCAATCTGATTGATCCTTTCTATGGTGAGACGTAACACATGCTTGCTGCATGGTAGCTCACCTGGTTATAAGTCGCATGCTCGTCTGCTGTTGTTTCTATATCGTACAGGAATGACAAGTCAGCAGCTGAAAATGTTGAAGTGAGCAAGTGCAAAAATGTTGTGATTCGTCTTTAACTCATCTACACGTAAAGCAGTATCGAACATACGCACAATGGTGAGCCATCCTCGTTACAGCATATTCACCACCACCACTTCGGACTCGTCACGCCACGTCACATCCACGTGTTTCAAGAATGATACATGTCAGTCACATCGGCTAGCAGCCTTCTTGAAAGGCCCGACGAGCTCTATCTCTGCGTGGGGTCTTTCTTAGCCGGACATCTTTGGGCGTATCCCTAGCGGGCTGTTTGTCACTCGGATCGGAGGGAGGGACCACTTCATTCATACTCGCTCCGGCACTTGCCTCTCTGCATTCCGTTTTTCCACGCCAACTCGCCATCCGATTCCATCCCATGCACGCTCCGTCGTAGACGCATCACCTCGTCCGTCGCGCCGCTCCCACTCTCTCACTCTCGCTCTCTCACTTTCTCGTTCCGCCCCACCTCCGTCTCTTGATGGCCCTCGCCGCTCGCCTCCTCTCCCCCTCCTCCCTCGCCTGCCCGGCACGCGCCCTCGCCACCACCGCTCGCCTCCCCCGCTCGTGCCTCCCCCACTTTATTCTCCCCCAGTCGCACCTCCCCCACACCGCGCGCCCGCGCTCCACCCCTGCTGCGTGCCCCGCCGCCGCCCGCGGTGAGAAGCGACGTGGTGTTGCGACCATGGCGACGCCACCGTCCAACGCGGAGATGGCGGGCAGCTCAGAGGAAGGTGAGCGTTGAAGAGCGGTGGTGAGTGGTGGTGAGCGGTGGCGAGTGGTGGTGAGCGGTTGTCGAGTGACAAGTGAGCAGTGCTCCCTCTTCCGAGGAGGATTCCCTTCGCCCTCCTCCACCCCTTCCTCTCCCTCCCCATCACTCCCGCGGCCTCCGCATCTTTCCTCCGTGCTTGCCCTCTTTCCCCCGTGCTTGCCCTCTTTCCCCCGTGCTTGCCCTCTTTCCCCCGTGCTTGCCCTCTTTCCCCCGTGTTGGCCCTCGTTCCTGTGCTAGTGACAAAACCGTTGACATTCTCACCACTCCACCCCTCGCCTTGACCCCTTCTGCCCTCCTTCCCTTGCACTCGTATGCCCCATGCTGCTGTCGCTCACACGCCTTTCCCTCCTCTCCCCCAATTTCTCCCTTTCATTGCCTCCCGTCTCACCGCTCACCCTCCCCTCTAATACCACCATCGCTCTTCTACCTCTCCCCTCCCTGCGCAGCCCCCCTGGCGAGTCGACGCTGTGTGCCGTGTGAGGGCAAGGGGCTGCTGCCTTCCCCCTTCCGTCCCTCCTACCATGTCGCCAACGCCCTTCTACCTCTCCCCTCCCTGCGCAGCCCCCCTGGCGAGTCGACGCTGTGTGCCGTGTGAGGGCAAGGGGCTGCTGCCTTCCCCCTTCCGTCCCTCCTACCATGTCGCCAACGCCCTTCTACCTCTCCCCTCCCTGCGCAGCCCCCCTGGCGAGTCGACGCTGTGTGCCGTGTGAGGGCAAGGGGCTGCTGCCACTGCCCGCTGATCGCATCGCCAACCTGCTGGACCAGGTAGGTGCTGCTACAGCTCCTACAGTTGCTGCCACATTTAGGAGCGTCAGGTCTCTTGCATATCTTGCAGGATGCATGAATGTGAGTGTGGTGTGGTGTGGTGTGGTGTGGTGTGCATACGAGATTTCATGTGAGACTTGCTCGCCTGTTCACCCTCTTGCATGCACTGCACGCCCACGTGCACTCACATGCACGCCCACATGCACTCACGTGCACGCCCACGTGCACTCACGTGCACGCCCACGTGCACTCACGTGCACGCCCACGTGCACGCCCACGTGCACTCACATGCACCCTCAGAGGCACCCTCACATGCACTCTCACATGCGCACATGTTGACAATCACCTTCATTACCACTCTGTCCTCACTGCCTTGCCCCTCCCACGTGCAACGCTCTGCTCCCCATGCCCTCCTCCCTGTACCTCTCGTAGTCTTTTACAATAGTCTTTTCTATCTTGCATTGATGGTTCAAAACAGTTTTCATCTTACCACGAAACATCTCTGGGCATGACGTGGCATGTATGTTGCCACTACATGGGCTGTGACTGCTCGTATGCGGTGCTGTGCGGTGCGCACGACAGGTGGCGGGGTGGGAGGTGGTGGAGGAGGGCGGGTACCAGCGCATTCGCCGGCAGTGGCGCACTCGGAACTTCCTCGCAGGACTCACGCTCTTTCAACGCGTTGCAGAGGTTGCCGAAGCTGAAGGTGGGTGCTGCTCCTTCTTATAGAAGCCCAAGCTGAGTGCTCAGGCACGTGGAACTTCCTCGCTGGCCTCATTCTCTTTGAACGGGTCGCGCAGGTCACTGAGGCCGAAGGTGGGTGCTGCTCCTTCCCTCCCACACAGGCGATTCTTGAATCGCACGCGGAACTTCCTCGCAGGCCTCACACTCTTTCAGCGCGTTGCAGAGGTTGCCGAAGCGGAAGGTGGGTGCTGCTCCTTCCCAAACAGGCGATTCCTGAATCGCACGCGGAACTTCCTTGCAGGCCTCACACTCTTTCAGCGCGTTGCAGAGGTTGCCGAAGCCGAAGGTGGGTGCTGCTCCTTCCCAAACAGGCGATTCCTGAATCGCACGCGGAACTTCCTTGCAGGCCTCACACTCTTTCAGCGCGTTGCAGAGGTTGCCGAAGCCGAAGGTGGGTGCTGCTCCTTCCCAAACAGGCGATTCCTGAATCGCACGCGGAACTTCCTTGCAGGCCTCACACTCTTTCAGCGCGTTGCAGAGGTTGCCGAAGCCGAAGGTGGGTGCTGCTCCTTCCCTCCCAAACAGGCGATTCTTGAATCGCACGCGGAACTTCCTGGCGGGCCTCACGCTCTTTCAGCGCGTTGCAGAGGTTGCCGAAGCGGAAGGTGGGTGCTGCTCCTTCCCAAACAGGCGATTCCTGAATCGCACGCGGAACTTCCTTGCAGGCCTCACACTCTTTCAGCGCGTTGCAGAGGTTGCCGAAGCCGAAGGTGGGTGCTGCTCCTTCCCAAACAGGCGATTCCTGAATCGCACGCGGAACTTCCTTGCAGGCCTCACACTCTTTCAGCGCGTTGCAGAGGTTGCCGAAGCGGAAGGTGGGTGCTGCTCCTTCCCAAACAGGTGATTCCTGAATCACACCCGGAACCTCCTCGCAAGCCTCACTCTCTTTGACCACATCACTCAAATTGCTGAGGCAGAAGGCAGGTGCTGCACTTTCAAAATAAAGACGGGCTGTGGGTGCTGCAGCCTCGTGTCATGCCAATGCTCATTGGACAGATGCTGCTTCCCTGAATGCTCCTCGCTCTGCTGGAAGAGCGTGAATGGAGCTCCTATCGCAGCTAAGTGTCAGTTCGTACGAATGTTGCCTTGAAGTACAGTGCAGTGCCCCACTCGTCTGTAACGGCTGGGCATAAACGTGAGCAAGAGTCCAAGGTTCAATATCAACGGGCCCAGGTTGATGGAACCTGATTGGTCCGACCCTCCATCCAGGCCAGTTCGGGTTGACCCGTTTTGGTCCAGCCGTTCATAGCAACTGGCCCCAACATGGCCCGGTCTGACCCTGGTCGCCCCCGTTGAGCCGGTCTGGGAAGAAAACCCTTGTTCGGCCCGTGATGAGCAAACACGGCCGAATTGGGGTTAGCCTAATGCTCATGTTTGGACATGTTTCAGCGCTGCATCTCGAACCCTGAACACACCCTGAGTGTGTCTGGTAGCTCTGGCAAAGTGTTGCCCAATGATAACGTCACAAACAAAGGATGAGATGTCACCCTGTTGGTTACGGCATGAATTATGGAGCTTAGTGCGGCTGCAATGTGTGTGTGTGCTGCAATGTGTGTTGTGTGTGTGTGCAATGTGTGAGAAAGAGCACGTTTAGTACAACCGTAAATGAAATAATCTTATTGAAAAAACATGGCTTTTTTCCTGCTTCCATTTCAAATCTATTGTGTTAGCATTGTTTCTCATATCCTTGGTGCATGCTGTGTGGAGTGCATGCTGTGTGGAGTGCATGCTGTGTGACCTGCATGCTGTGTGACCTGCAGGCCATCACCCGGACCTGCACCTGGAAGGATGGAACCATGCACGGATCGACATCTACACACACGCCATCGGTACGCCTCGCACACTAACATCACATCGCTGCAGTACAGCTCTATCAACGGCGCGAGCATGGTACCACGTGGAGCTTCACACGAGCCAACGTGGGCAGTAGTGGCTTGCGTTGATCATCAGCTTGCAAATGCTTACCCTGACCACGTGCGTTGCTTTTCTTGCAGGTGGGCTGCATGAGAACGACTTTGTGCTGGCAGCCAAGATCAACGCGCTGCACCTGGAGGATCTTCTTCGCAAGCCAAAGACCAAGATTGCTGGTTGAGCCCATGTAGTGTGTATAGTATAGCTGGTGATTCTCTGATGTGGTTAGTTATGTTGGTTCTGCGGCATCTGCCAGTCTTCCAGCGCTGTTTGAGTTGTGTAAATAGAGAGAAGTTGAGCTTGCACATTGTGTTTGTTTGTGGCTAATGTTAAGGCAATTCATGTAGCTGGAAGTATCAATGTCGTGCGCTGACATGAAACCTCAGGACCTTTCAGAAGCAAATGATGTGACGTATACATAATACCGTCAGCCCCCGGATAGAAGCGCCCCTGGGGGTATAAAAAAACACTGTTTTTTAGGGGGTGCGCTTATAATTGAGGAATTTTATAAGAGCCGGCGCTTATAAAATGGCAAAGCAAGTTTATATTTGTTTTACACCAATCTGTACACCTTGTTCTGCCAATTGTAATCGAGTCGAATATATCTGGGGTCGCGAATCTGATTCTCGCGCAACTTACGGTAGCAGGGATGTATTCCCTGCCAACACATGCTGACTAAGCGACAGCAAGTGCTGACTAGACGCGCAGCAAGTGTGATGTGAGTGGGAAAGTGGACCTGTACTTCGATTCCCTGGTAAAGAGAAATTCGTTTCTGAAATCGACTGATTTTCAGATTAAAAAATAGACATGCGCTTATAATAAATCAGAATTTTTTAAGGGGTGCGCTTATAATCGAGGACCGGATATAAGCGCCCTCATCCTTTTATAAGCGCCGGCGCTTATCCGAGGCCTGCGCTTCTATCCGGGGGCTTACGGTACAGGTTGCCCAGAGGAGAAAAACTGTTAGTATATTTTGCTGTATAATGCTTCGCCTGTGAACATTTTTTTGTTTCTGATTTCTGGAGTTAGTACAGTGTTCGAGAACAGAATCCGCTCATGGATGCCTTCTAGCGAACAATTTTTTGAAAAGAGGAAAGAGTACAGGTTCTTACAGGAAAGAGAAAAGAGGAAATCTCGGCAGCACAGACGTCAATCTCAATGGCTCCTTGGCCCTCCGTTTTCCCAGCTTCCGTGAATCGCGTTGATCCCTAGAGGCCCTTGGCGTAGCTAATTTCGTTAGGGTCGCGATTTTTTTTAGCGAAAAGTGTTTAGGGTTGTCCCGACAATTTGTCCCTGAAACGGCTAGGGAATCTTTTTAGGTCGAAAGTGCTGGCGGGAAATTGATGAGGCGCCTCGAGACACTAACGAAACAAACGCACCGACACCAAGGGGGTGTCCCCGAACCTCCCACCCCCGCTGTTTTAGCCTGACGCGGCGCCACCAAAATTCCCAAACCTGGACCCCCAGCAAAAGACGCCTTGAAATCTGTCCACAAACTTCGATGCCAGGTTCCTCACCGTCAGATTCGGGTGACATGTCATGCTCACGAGTAGACAGCGAGGCACGCCGAGAATGGAACTCCAATGGTCAGACAGACGAGGCATGTAGGCTTGGAGGCGAAGGTTTGAGCGGGCGAGCCCTGAGTGCTGTAGAAATGGGGTCGCCAGGGTTGGAACATTTCATTCCCACTTCCTCTGCCGTTCTGTCGATTTGCAGTGAATAAACTTTTTCGGAAAGCCTGTGTCCAGCGATCTGTTTCTGTTCAGCGATCTTCAGTCAAGTAACATGGCCTCTCTTGCTGATACATGCACTGTTAACTCCGTTTCCAACTCGGCGACCAGTCCTGTAACGCAGGTTCGGAACCCCGCGAACCGTTTTCTCGCCTTTGAATTATTCTCCTGCCAAGCCTGCTGCTTGCAACGGTGACGGTGAGACGTACTGCAGCAGCGTGCTTCTGAAGAGCGTGAGGCCGCTGCTGGAGAAACTGGCCTCCCAAGGCGTAGCTGACGGGCAACACAAGCCCTCGAAGGTGCACGTATCTGACGCACTCAACGTGAAGCGGCCTGGAATCGGCCGCTTCGGAGGCAAGCCCGCTGCTGCCGTGCTTGCACCTGCACCTGTCGTCGTCACTGCTGCTCCACTCCCACCAACAGCTACTGCTGCAGTCACACCGTCTGCTGTGGTTGCGCCTGTGGTGGTGCCTGAGGTAGTGCCTGTGGCTTCAGTGGCTTCAACCACACCACATGTGCCTGAAGCGAGTGTGACCAAAGAAACAATATCTGAGGATTCGAGTGCAGGTCCTGCTGATCCAAGTGAGAAAGCGTGGTGGCCGAAAATGCGTGAGAAGGTTCAAGCCATGGATATTGCGCTAACACGTGCTGCTTACCTGAGGTGGGACAAGCGGAGCAAGGAGCCATCATGGGCCATGGCGATTGAAGCGGCCATTGAAGCTGCCCTTCGTCCCTGCTTTTTGCCCAAGCATCCTGATGCTGTGGCGAATCTGACTCGCAAAACCGTGCCTCCTGCATCTGCAGCAGCAGCGGCTGTAGCAGTGTCCGCAGCAGCTGCTCCCTCGCCCGCAGCTACAACAACTGTGAAATCACATGCTGCGGCATCACCAGTGAGAGGAGCAGCAGCAGCAGCACAGAAGCCAAAGCCTACTGTTGTAGCAAGGTGCAAGGTGGGGTTGAAAGCGCGAAGGGCAAGAATGGGTGCAGCAGCAAGGTGGTGGGCATGGGTGTGAAGGGTGGCAAGGGCAACAACACGCATGCAAGCTCTGCCCCATGTGGTGCAGCAGTTGCTGGGTCACGTGGTGGTGCATCATCAGTGAGAGCAGCTGGCAAGGCCAACAGCAGGCAGGCGAGTGGGGTGAAGAGGAGAGAGGAGGGTGGGTGTGGGGAGGGAGCAGCAGGGAGGGCAGCAGGTGGAAGGCAGGGTGGTGTGAAGGCAGCAGGTGGCAGAGCAGTGGCAAGTGGCGTGTGTGGCAGGGAGGGGGTGAAGCAGCAGGCGGGGAGGAGAGAGGGTTTGGTGCATGAGAGGCAGGCAAGGCCAGGCCACAGCAGCAGCAGCAGGGTGCACAGAAGGAGCTCCTGAAAGAGCCCTTACAGCAATGCCTACACTCAACTCCCAGCTGCTGTTGGGAGCATACATGGGTTACTACGGTGACACCAATGGAACTGTCAAAACATATGCATATTATATCTAGGCTATATTGGGGATAGCCTTAGGGGGTACACACATTTCTCTCGACACTCTACTCTTGTACCCCACCTTGACCTAATCTCATCATCCTTGCCTTAGATTCTAACATGGTATAGAGCAGGAGGTCCTTAGGACCTTAGGGTACATTCCTGTGTGGACACAAATGTCTCAATCCCCCTTTTCCCGAGTCGCGTCGTAACATTTTGTCAACCTCGCGTCACAAAAAAGGAATGTATTGCGACACTAGGCGACCAGGCGAAATGTACAGTTGTGCGCTTTTGATTGGGTTTCGGAATTGACTGTACACCCGTTTCTTCAAACGCCTGGCTGGGGTGTGGTTTCGACGCGCGGGTTTTTTTCCCGCACGAAATTGGCATTGGGGGGTGTTCAGGTGCATTGACATTTCGAACCGCGTGCGACATTTTGCCAGTGACGGGTCAATTTGCAACTCGTCCGCGACGTCAGCGCGTTTCACGCTGACCAATGAAAAATACAGTAATGGTCGCTAAAAGGCGATTCCGTTTGTGACATAATACGTTTTATGCTGTTTTTACGCGTCACAATAGGATTGAGACACAAATGTCCACACAGGAATGTACCCTTAACACTGTTCTGTTTGGGCCCACCTTACAAATCACCTGCGGTTACCGCGTTACCCCGCGCCCGCCCTACCCTACTACGCGTCGCGCTGCCCCTGCTGGCCGCGCGCCACTGCTGCAGCTCGCATTTTCCTTTTTTTTCGCGCGCTGCCCTGCCTGCTCTGCCCCGCGCGCGCTACGCTCGTCGCGTCGCCCCGCGGCCCTCGCGCGGCTCTCGCGCGGCCCTTTCGTGGCCCTTCGCGGCCCTCGCGCGGCCCTTTTGTGGCCCTCGCGCGGCCCTTTCGCGGCCGTCCGCGGCTCTCCGCTGCCCCTTCGCGGCCCCCTACGCGGCCCCTCCGCGGCTCTGCCGCCCTGCCGCTTCGTCGCCCCACCGTAGCCGCCTCCGCAGCAGCGGCCGTCGCACTTCCTGCCACTGCAGCTTCCGCCACGGCTGGTTGCCGCTGCAGCTGCTGCCGTGACGACCGCTGCCATTGCCGCTGAGACAGCCGCTGCCGCCCCTGCCCCTGGCTCCTGGGGCAGCCGCCCCTGCAGCAGCCGCCCCTGGTCCCTGGAGCAGCCGCCCCTACACCTGCTGCCCCTTGCCACTGGAGCAGCTGCCCCTGCAGCAGCCGCCCCTGCCCCTGGCCCTTCGGGCAGCCGCCCCTGCAGCAGCCGCCCCTGGCCCCTGGAGCAGCCGCCCCTGGCCCCTGCAGCAGCCGCCCCTGGAGCAGCCGCCCCTGCAGCAGCCGCCCCTGAAGCAGCCGCCCCTACAGCAGCCGCCTCTGGAGCAACCGCCCCTGCAGCAGCCGCCCCTGGCCCCTGCAGCAGCCACCCCTGGAGCAACCGCCCCTGCAGCAGCCGCCCCTGGCCCCTGCAGCAGCCGCCCCTGGCCCCTGCAGCAGCCGCCCCTGGCCCCTGCAGCAGCCGCCCCTGGCCCCTGCAGCAGCCGCCCCTGCAGCAGCCGCCCCTGGAGCAGCCGCCCCTGCAGCAGCCGCCCCTGGCCCCTGCAGCAGCCGCCCCTGGAGCAGCCGCCACCTGCAGCTGCCGCGGAGCCCTAGCCCTACAGTGGTGCCGGCCTCACCATTGCCGCCGTTGTACGCCGGCCCTTCTTGCCACTGGTGAGCACTGTCCTGCCCGTACTGCTGTTACTACTGCTCCTGCTGCTACTGCTCTTTCTCCTGCTACTGCTGCTCGTGCTGCTCCTACGGCTACTGTGCTTTCTCCTGCTCCTGCTGCTACTGCTGCTACTGCTGCTCCTGCTGCTACTGCCGCTACTCCTGCTCGTGCTGCTCCTACGGCTCCTACCCTTCCTACTGCCACTGCTGCTCCTGGCGTGGCCAGATGCAGCTCCAGCGCCGTCCACGTGAGCCTCTCCCGCCCCCACAGCTTCATGAGTGGTATG